GGACGTACCTTCTTTATCTATTGACTTTGATTTGGACCCACGCTGAAGGTCCTGTTGTCAAAGATTGATAGTTTGATCGAAAGCATTAAGTACGTTGTTGTTCATTCATTATATCCTTGCAAAATTGTTTGGGTTGGTAGTTTGATAAGTGTTTAATCTTCCAAGGTCATGTTCACTCATGCCTCACGCTAGTATATGTATACGTGTGCACAAACAAGTTAGTAAGAGAATCAGGATCCGAGTCGGTGAGAATGGTCAAGAAGTGAGGTGAAAGAATTTGCAGTGAGTAGAAGACAGCAAAAATTGTAGCAGAACTGGTTGAGACAACAAAAAGGAGACTGAAAGGGACAGAAATAGAGTACGCTGCCCTGAACGCTAGGTGAGAGCACAATTGACCAAGAAGACTATCCCTAGTCGTTATGGTTGACAGAAGAAATTACTTATTTAAGCGTTTGTTCGAACTTGAACTGAAACTACAGCCTTAGCGTAGACTTATAACCAGGTACAAGGCTGATAGAACTGCCGAGGTGATTTTGAGAGTTGAATGTCCTCAATACAACGGCTGAGCCCTTCGTCAGAGCGATCGATCGCTCTGACGAAGGGCTAACGCTCGAAACGTCAGCTTTTTTAGCCTTTACGGTGGCTAATTTACGTTTTGAACTCATTTTTTAACACTAAATTACATGTGATAATGTAGTCTGATCGACTGGGTGAGTGTAGTGGTGACTGACCTTTCGTCAACCTGAGCTGAAGTTATCATCAGAGTCAAGAGATGACATCCGCTCAGGTTGTCGAAGGAAGGATGAATCGGTCACTTCGTCACAAGCTCTGATCTCCTGCATTGCTGCCGCTTTCTTGCAGAAATAATACAGTTCTTCTTTTTTTTTCCTTTGTCGCCATCACCCTACTGAATGTCTCTCTCCCGCAAATAACTTTTACACTCCCCCACATTGAATTTCGAAATATTTCCGCTTTCACTAGCACGACACTTTATAAAATAGTTCAAATAGTACGCGCGCTCTGATTGGCCACAAAACCATTTTACATGAGCGTATGTAAACACGGTTTTCGTTCCTCTTTCATTAGTTATTTAATAAAAGAAATGTAAAATGGTTTCCGTGTTTACATAGCCTGATGTAAATACTTAGGAGGTTGGGAGAACACTCGATAAGCTGGAAACCACTCCGCTTCGCGTCGTGGTTTCCTACGCTTATCTCGTGTTCTCCCAACCTCCCGCGTGTTTACATCAGGCTATGTAAACACGGAAACCATTTTACAATTCTTCAATATTCCTTACACAAATGGGAGGACTTTGCACGTAGCCTCGTTCTCACGCCGTACAGCGAGAACTTGGAGACAAAAGGAAACAAGGTAACGAAGTGGTAGTGTTAACTAAAACTTTGTGAAATTCCAGTTTGATCACTTAGAGATGCTTGGGTTAACTTTCCAAAGAAACATAACAAAAATCAAAACCTGCTCTTCCATGGTCTCGACCTGCTGGCAATGGCATGATCGTACTGTGTGGGGGCAAAGTTGGTTTAAGTGTCGCTTCTCTACAGAGAAAGGATCACATGTTGAAATTAAGAAGAGTACATCTCACTTTGCTCCTCTTCCCCTTCAAGAATTAGCTCTTGGATATAAACCTCGAATTAAAGGGCGATCATATCTACCTGGATCAACCTCTGAACGATTTCCAGAATTTCTTCGTGGACCTGAAGAGGGTAGTTCATTTCCAAAAGCCTATCGAGTAAAAAACTCTCAGCGGTACGATGTCAAAGGCTGGTCACTTGTATGCCGTCAACTTATTGATGAAGAGCTTGCCATTCATGGGGCAATTCTTATAAGGTACTATCCTGATCATCAGTGCAAAATGTGATGTGTGTTTTGCGGTAATTAGAAATGGCGGAATGGCGGAAAATGACCCCAAATCCTAAAACATGGAACGGCGGAAAATGACCCCAAATCCTAAAACATGGAACGGATGCCAGGGCATGTTGCACAAATTTTGTACAAAGACACCAAGCGCTTGGCTCATTTACTACACTGAATCCAAACATTTTACCTAACGTTTCCAAAAGAAACAATTTTTAAACCTCCAAAAGCACCCGAGTCATTTGGAAAAACGTATTTTCAAATGAAAGTTAATAAATTAGGAAGGTGTCTCGTACCTGGACGAATCCCGTTGGGAGGAATTTTCGCGGCAACAGCTCGTCTTGGGGCACGTCTTTCATGTTATTTGCATATTTTGTTTACATCGCACACTTGACAAAATTCACACGTGGGGGCTCTACGCTTATGAAAAAACCTTTGCTCATGGAAAAATCATAAGCAAAAGAAAGTCTTTGTTAAAAAACAGGCCCAAATAAGAAAGGATAAAATTTCCGCACAGCCCTATACTACATTGTGCATTCAGTTCTTGGATAGAGAAAACAAAAACAATACATTGCCATTGGGAAAACAGATTTGTTTTACAAAAGTATGGGACTGTGCGGAAATTTTACCGAAGAAAAAGTACCATTCTGTCAAGAATAGGAAAAAATCATTGGTGAAAGTTACTAGACTGGCGGAGCTCCACGCTAGCGTCCAGATTTCGAACAAAAAAGTCGCTGCTAAACCAAAATTTGTCATACATTAAGTTAAGACCGAGGTTTCCTTTCATTTATGTAAGTACCAGTCTTGCTACGAAAACATTAACAATCGCCTCGAGTCGTAAGTTTGAAAGCTGTCTGTCGATTCTTTGTCTTGCTTCTTAACACATTTTCCAGTTTTTCTAGGAATAGCAACAAAAGTATGTCGTGAAATTTTTTATATTTGAAATATATCTAGATAACCAATCAGAATATCGAAAAAGCGGGATTGGTGTCTTGCGAATAACGAACCCTTCTTAAAAAGAAAACCCGCTTAAATTGTATTTTTATCGCAAACTGCATTTATTAAGCTTTCTTCTGATGTATAGTTTGCCTGGATATTAGTGAAATTAGCGCGCGAACGAATTTTTTTCCCGAAAGACACCCGCGAGGACGGGAAGTAATTTGGCTCAGTCGGTATTTGATGTCGCCCTGTCGCTCGTTTACTAACACTCATATCGCCAATTTGTTTGGGGACAAAAGTCACTGTCGCTTTTTCGCTTTGATAAAAATGTTGCTGTTTTGCTAAATTTGGCAATACAGTAATTTCTGACGAACATACATACTGTAGGATTTCCAGTCGGCACTAGACATACTGTAGGATTTTACGCCGTTAACCAACGGCGTAATTTTCTCCAGACGGAAATATATATACTGTAAAATTTTACCCCGTTAATATACTTTTACTATATATTAATTTATTTAATTATTATACTGACTCAGATGGTGGTGTAAAATCGTACAGTCTACAGACTGTGTTAGTCACATATTACGCAGTTATCCATATTCCTGCCTGCCACTTTCCCCCATCCCTTGACTTTGGAAGGTCGAGAAACTGGGGTTTTCAAAATAGAGCTATAAATATAACAATTTATTAGCACCTTAGTCTTTCTTTTTTCTGGGGTAATTAAGTATTATCAACTAAGTTGATAACGTAAATTGAACACGGTAAAGATTTGAAAGCTGAAGTTTCGAGCGTTAGCCCTTCGTCCATCGCTCTGACGAAGGGCTGACGCCCGAAACGTCAGCTTATAAACTCTTTACGGCGGCCAATTTACGTTCCCAACTTAGTTGATAAAACTATATTACCTTGTTATAGTCTCCCACTGACGCAGCACCACAGTTTGTTTAGAAACTTACCCCTTTTATTTCTTTATTCCACCAGATCATTGAATCATTTAAATGAAATGAAATGAACAGTACTTGATACCATTCTTTTTGCCAGGTTTGGTTGGGGCCTAAATTTCTACTCTCTACCTTTCATTTTTCTAGGAATCTTCCACTTTGTAGCATGGAAGATTTCCAAGATTTTCTTCAGAACCTGGACTTCAAGTTCTTTGAACATGGTGTTACAGGTTATAGGACCCCACTGGGGGGGCATGTGTACACAGCCTCGGATGACCCTCCTGAGGTTACAATGGAACCTCATAATGAGTGTTCATATTCACCATTTTTTCCAAAGAAGGTTTGTTTAAATAGTCACTTTTTGTGTGGTAGCAGTAATATAGTATTTATGTGTGATACATGTACACATTATGTGTTAATTAAAGTTGGTCAGTGTTATGTGTTCTTAAGCAAGACACTTCATTCTCACAGAGCCCCTCTCCACCCAAGGAAATCAGTGGATAGTAGCAAACTGTTTAGGCAATCTGAGAAAAAAATCTGGGGGTAACTTTGTGGCACACTACTTTTTTGTCCAGAAAAGGGTTAACACTCCTAATAACTTCAAGCTACTGAAATGGTACAAAGATGAACTTAAGTTTAAAGACTTTCCTTTTTTACAGTTAGTTATGTTCTGTTTAAAAGAACCTGACCCATCTTGTGGTGGTGAAACTGTTCTCCTGAAAAGCCAAGATTTGACTGCCCTCTTGGATCCTGAAGTGATTCAGAAGTTTGAGGCAAAGAAGATTCGCTATCAAGCATTTCTACCAAATAAGAACACAGGAGCTGGACTTCAGAAGAGCTGGCAAGACAGATTCTGGATGGATGATCCCAAGGTTTGCTAAAAATTCCTTTTTCAGATGTTTATCCAAGGTGCTTGGTTTTGTTGAATTTGTAATTTGGTTTTGAAGCAGCACTTCTGGTCCAATAATGCTGGTAGATACAACTGGCATAATGAAATTTTGGTTTACAGTGAACTTCTAGGATTACCTTTACCCATATAATAAGATTACACCAGGAAATTGTTTCTCCTGAAGTAAGAAAATACTTAAAGAAATATTTTGAATCTTTGTCACAAGAAGGGGACTCAGAGAAGCCTGATAATTAAACACCAGTTGGTTGGTTGGGTGCTTTATAAGCTGGGATACAGAAAACTCCTTGGCAGGCTACACAATATAGGTTGCAGCATCATCTGTTTTTGTTTGTTTGTTTGTTTTTTAATGTTAATAGAGACTGATCAATTGAAAAAGTAGGTCTTTAGGTATCGTTTCCAAAATGTAGACGCATGCAATGGAGTGTCATCAATTTAATCCTTTCAATGACTTGTTTGTATCAAATAGGAAGTGGAAACAATTCTTGAATCAAATGGATGGAGCTTCTCTTGGGACAAGGGAAAAAATCTTCGATTCTGGTACCTTAACTCACCTGTTATTGAACACCCTGTGACTGGGGAGAAGATATGGTTTAATCAGATAACAAGCTACAATGCAAGCTACTTCAGAGCTCTTCCTCTGTATGAAAATACTGGTGATAGTATTGAAGATGATCAATTTCCTTTTCACTGCTACTATGGTGATGGATCTCACATTGAGCCTGAGGTCCTTCAGCATATTCGTGAAGTGATGTGGTCCTGTGCAGTGGGATTTCGGTGGCGAACATTTGATGTTGCTGTACTGGATAATCAACAGGTTTTACATGGAAGGATGGGATGGACTGGAGACAGGAAACTTGTGACTTCACTAATAGATGAATAAAGCTGCGAATCCTTTTTAAGGCCAGGATTCATAGGTGTGAAGGTGCATGGACAGATCGTAGCAAAAATTGGCTTTGGGCGACATGAAGAATAATTTTTGTGAAAATATTTGTCTCTGTAACAAAAATTTTAATGTGAGAGGGTTTTATGTCAATATTTTACAATATGTTTCCTATATCAATTTCAATGTATTTGATTGTTTTTTTTTAAATATTTGATTATTTTATTTTCAAAACAGCAAAACATGACAATATTTTTGATGTATCAATTTATTTTATTTAGTGAAGAACACAAGTTTCAACTCCACATGTGTACAATAATGATCTCTTAAAACTTATCAAATACCTAAAGTACAGGGTCAAATATTTTTAGTGATTTCCTTACCTTTTGGTTAAAAATATTAAAATGTTAAAAAATTGGAAGATTTATTAGTGGTGTGAAAATACATTTTCGGTTATTATCTTAATGTGAGGAGAAAGGACAGGATGCAGTTATTACAAAGGCTACCATTCAAAAGATTTACACCTCAGTTATTTCAATTTTTTTCATTTTCGATCAATAACATCATTTTCACAAAATAAATTATGTCATAATAGTTGTAACAAAGTATAATTATTATGTATATATTTCATCATTCTTATACTCTTTGTTGTCAATAAAATCTTAAGGACAAACTGCAACATCATATGTCATCAGCCATTACCAAGCAATGGAATTTACTGCAGTGACAATTACTGCTGAGTTCTCTCAAAGCATTGGGCTACAGCCACTGCAGTTTTTTGAAGATTTACTCCTTGAAGGTTCACCAGTATTGCAATGACCACTCCTTTCGGAGGTTTTGTGTGAGCTTGTTGCGGTCTTATCATCAATATGCTGCTTGCTCCAACTGCTCCCCCTGGAAAGAAAATATCAGATTTGATGAAAAATGTAAGTTTGGGTATTCTGTGGTCATCAAGTTTTCTCTGGTAACCTCACACTCAGTATGCTTGGATGTAAGCCAAGAAATGACGCTGAGTAATTTTCATAAAATGTGGTCAAGAGGTTAACTACCCAAGAAAAATATATCACAAAAGCATGTAGATTTTCTTCTTGACTCAAATTCTACTCTACCAGGGAAGCTTTAAAGTGTCTGATTGAACTTTGTATAACTGAGGGTTAAAAAGGGTGAATTTTCTTAGCAAGTATTTCGGTAAGCCTCATCTGCCTGAGACAGAGTCAGTTTCCCTAGCTTGCAAGCAAATACATCAAACCCGAAATGAAAAAGTGAGAGAGTTGGATTGGAAACTTAAGTAGTATAAAAAAACTGTTGAAATTATTCATAGATGAGGGGGGGGGGGGTCTCTTCAAGCTATTCAAGGTATTTAGGATTAGTGGTGATAAATTTCAGGGTTTACTTAAAATCTTACCATCATGAAATACACATTCTGATTGATGTGAGCAGCATCCAAACTCCTGTTTTTCTGCAATGACCTCCCACCCAAGTCCATAGCCACCATCTCTGTCACCTTGACCTTCTGTGTTAGCCACAATTTTCCAGAGTTCAGTTACAGTATGAGGTTTAAGAAATCCAGGAAGATAGCCTGTTATTAAATTGAGTGTTATTAGATTTGTTTTCATCATCTTCCACCCTAGTTGCTACTGCTTTTTCTCGGTTTATTATCAGCTCTACCTTCTTAACTTTAATTATATTTGTAGCATCCTTCAAGTTGAGGGTAGTTTTCCACAGTACAAAAAAAGATTTAATCCTTTCATTGCCAGTGGTAATCAGTGCCTACACTCTCCTCTCAGTTTTACACTATCACACTATCAACAGACAGGTGATGAGAGTTAAGATAATAATCAAATTTTAGATGTGCAGATTTAGCTCTAAAAATCTCAGGACTGGTGCATTCAGAGGTGTGAGATCATGAGTTTGGAAATCAGCTTTCAGGTTTTTTTTTTAGTGAAAACTACTATTGCATAGGTGAAGGCAGTTTACCCTGATCTACCGTAGTTCTAAAATAACCTGCCATACCAGATGCTTCCTTTCTGTCCACCTCTCCTATCTGTTTGGCATAAAGCAAAGAATTCCCAAATTGGATCAGATCTTTCACAGTAGACAGGAAACCTCCGCCTGCCCACTTGTAGGAGTTGTCTACATATGGTGCATTCATAAGACGTCCTTTACAATTGCGTTGATAAAATCTGCATTGAGTGAGAGAGATCATCGCCATTAAAAATTCATAATTCAGGAGCACTTGTAGGTTAATCTAACTAGGAGACATTGGACAAAAGGAGTAAGGAACAGGGGTTAAAACACTAACATGCACATGAATACAAGAGGAACAAATCAATAGTATATAATGCTGTGAACATTTTTATCATCCATTTAGGGTCATTTCATTACTTTTTCCCCTTTTCATAAAGTTTGAATTAAAAGTGAGTGTTGTGAACAGATATAATGATTTGTATTAATATCCAAAAATATCTGATAGATCCATATTGATTGCTTACACCATGTAACATGACTTAACCTTGCTCTGTTCAGAATAATTGTATCATTGAATTCAGCGCGTGTGTTTTCCATGCCCAGATGTTTAAACAGTTTTTTCATATACAGAAGAAAGTCTTGTCCAGATATGCTCTCAACAACAGCACTTAGTAAGGTCCAACCATGGGTGGTGTATAAATAACTTGCACCAGGACTGGATAGGAGTGGGTCATCTTTAAACATGGCTATTGCCTCAGAAACTGATTTGTAATGGTCCTAAAAAAATGAGTAAGTTTTAAATTACACACTGCTGAATGCATCTATCTTTGAAACAATTACTTAGAGGAAATGTAGCATTACAACTAGTTAACATCATTCTACCTATAATAATGTGACCAGGAAGAGTATTACAGAAGCAAGAAGTTTGTCGAAAATGGGCACCTGGGACATTTATTACAGTACATGGCAACAAAATATATTTAAGAGGAAAGGCAAGTCTAATTAACCACTCTCTCAATAAAAGCGTTTTCTCAGTAGAGTTTTAGAGCTAGATTATATAGAAAATAAGGTGAGACCTCAAGGTTATGGAATTGGGACCTTAATGAAGGATTGCTTGAACTGGACATATTACTTCTAAAATAATGTGAATGATATATTGTTCTCATCACTGTAGAACAAATATCATGCTGTTAATTGCTGGCATTTTGTGCATCATACATGTCAATTTGTTCATTGAGTAGAAGTAAGAGTATCAAAAAGTATTGGGAAGGGGGGGGGATGATGAAAGAATGCTTTAAACAAACAACAAGGACAGAAGTTACTAGTATGTTAAAAAATGCCATGGAGAGGGATTTTATTCAAGTGTTATTTCCCTACCTTACTGTAGAATTCTTCAAACTGTGAATCACCTTGTTGTCTATAAGTGCAACCACCACTCACTGTAACTGGAACAAATAAGCAAACACTTTCTAGAGTTGGTGAAAATTTGATGTACGAACTCAAACACCAAAAAAATTCTTTAATTTAAGTTTAAAATTTTGAGCATTCTTTAGAAATTAGGCACCAAAACTTTACAACACTGAATATCATAGTGCATGCACTTTGGCAACCAACCCACCTACCTTTCTTCTCTTTCTCTGTCTTGTTTTCTTCGCTGGATGTTGTGGGTTTTTGGTAATGTCTTATTCCACCAAGGTGAGACAATAAGTGTCTGGTTGTAAGTGTGACTGGGGAGCCTCTAAAAGATTTCTCAGGAAATGATATGACATATTTTTGGATTGGTGCATCAAGGTCTAACTTGCCTTCTTCCCACAGCTTGGCTGACAAATCATAGATAGAAAATGTTGGACATGATAAGAGATCATGGTTAAAATCCTACATGCATGTGTACAATCTCTTAACATCCTTTACCCTAATTTTCATTCCTTTTAATTTCAGAGAATCACCCACCTACAGCTGTTGCAGTAATAGGCTTACTGATACTTGCAATTCGCATGACAGTTTTACTGGTACACAACACTCTATTCTCTACATCTGCAAAGCCAAATCCTTCACTCCAAACAGTTTTTCCATCCAGGCTAACAGCTATACAAACTCCAGGGCAACCAATTTCTTCCTTCATACATTTTATGATATATCGTGATTCCTCTATGGCAGATTGAATGGTCCAAGATGAGTGGTCATAGATATTTTCTTCACTTTTGGTCTGATGTAATTGTTCAAGGGAAAAACTTAAAAGTCTTTGATATGTAAACTTTCAAGACTTCAATACTTTTCAGTCTTGAACAACAAACCGCTTTAAATTGCACTGTATCCATACTCTCAGAATTTTTTATTCAGAATAATACTAAACTTAGCAATGCATTTAAATTGTAAATGAAAAGCATTGGCGCATTGATCATACTGTGTTTGAGAGTGAAAGATATTTAATGCACCACTCCCTTCAAATTTCCCTTAAGATGGTCATTTTGCCAACATGTCAATTTTCCAAGGACCAGTTTGCCAACATATGAAGTAAGTTTGCCAATGTCATGGTTCAGTTCTTCTGTCAATGCTGGTATGTCAGTTTGCCAAGTTACCTATTTGGAGACAATTATTTTCAACTAAAAGCTTTATTTTGGACATTGGCGAACTGACATGTAGGTGTTGGCGCCACCTCATATGTTGGCGAACTAGTCGTTAGCAAAAAGACCCATTGGCGAAACGACCAGCATTCCTTCAAATTAAGGGGTACTTCCTGGCAATGATATGTGTAATAGGTAAGGTACCCCTACGTCATAAGTATGTGTCAGTGAAAGTAATTTGTTGATGGAAAAAAAAGAGAACGTCAAACAATCCACTAGTCTAATTCACACAGATTATTCGACCATGTATGCCAGGTCTTGGGATGACGTTCATCTTTTAAACCCAGTCCGTAGCTCATGTCTACATAATCTCATATTGACCCCACTGAAACGATCATTGCATCTTAAGGATACGGATATTTGAAGTGGAGAGTTATTTTCCTTTTCTTCGCTTTTCTTTTCGACGAACGAGGCCTCAATTCGCGATGGCTTTCTTTGTTTCTTTCCATACAAAATTCCGGAAAATCCCAATAAACCAGCAAGTCCAAAACCAAGAAAAAAGGCAGTTTTGGGCGATCTCCTCCCTGTTTCTGCGGGATTTAACTGATGCTTGGTAGAGCAATTTAGATCTCTCACAGTTCCTAAAAATCTACTGCTTGGTAAAGACTGAAAAAATCTTTTGATAAATGGAGCTGCCATTTTGGAATGATTATCCCCTAGTCCTTCTGGGACAGGGAGATCCAGCTAGCTCATGCTCCCTTGGGCTCTGGGAATGAGATGGTTGAGACGGCCATCCATTCAGCGGGAATTTTATTTTTCAAATGCGTAGTGGAAGTACGAGCATGAAAACAAAATGGCGACCAAATTGACTATCGTTGAAAGTCTGAATAAATGGAAATGAAATGCAGCTGATACGCAACCCTTTATTATGATATTAGCTTATATTGTTGGAATAGTTTTCCTTTTACTTTTGGCAGCCATCTTTTTAGGAAGGTATGTAATGTGTGGTTGACCTCACTATATGAGCGCGTTGAAGCTTTTTTTTCTCGAAGTGTCTTACAATGCATTTGAAGGGTTACCTAAGTTAGTTTTATAGGAATGTAACCTATTGTATCAAATATTGAAAATAGCATCTAAGGTGCAATTCTTGATTTATTTTTGAGAAGGAAATGCAAGTGCATTTTGGTGATTATCTGTGCTTGTTTAATAACAACAAAAACAACAACAACAACAACAACGATAACAACAACGTTTCGTTCGCTCAACATAAATTCGTAAAATAAGCGAATAGTTTTTAATCATACAATTATACAACTGACTGAAGACGAAATTAGATCTTTAAATGTACTCTAGATGTAAATATATTTGAATGTCTGAAATCCACTGGCCATAACCTAGCGTGGCTTTTTTTTTCCAAGGTTCTTTGCTTGGCTTCTGGAGATCTTTGCTCAGTATGTTCTTCAGCTGGATCTAAAACTTGACACACTTGGCTTATTTGGTGCAAATGGTATTGAAATTAAATTCAACAATGGGTTGAAAATTGTAAGTGGAAATTGTAAGCTGCATGAATTCAGTAGCTTGTATGTTGGACTCTGATGTGAGAGGTTAAGGGTTTGATCTTCAGCCAGGGGACCTTTTTTCAAAGGTTCTGGTAACTTACAGTGACAGGCTGTTAAAGCTGTTCTGTTTTCTTGAAGATGGGGTTTTTTACCTAAATGAAACTATCTGCCAAAGAAACAAAATGAATCAGTTAGGGTGCCAGAACTTTCTTCTCTAACCTTCATTTTATATTTCAAAATATGGCTTACAGACTGTGAGTTACCAGGACTTTTGACAAACAGGTCCCTTTTTTCGAGGCTTAATGTCGTGTGGGCAAGTTGGAAACCAAATCATTGGAAGGGTTTTGATTTGGTGTTGTTGTGGTAATGGGTGCCTTAAGATGGGCTGTGGCTCAATAGCTCTCTGCAAAAGTGACCTAATTAGGATTGGAACTCAGTTGCTTGATCTAGAGGTTAGCACACAACCTCTTGGAAAAGTTGCCAAATGAGATTCAAGACATGTGAGTTAAAAGAGTCCTTCTAATGCATGATTACAATTTAGGATAAATTAGCCTATACCTTTTAAACCTTTTTACAGCAACATGTATGTTGTTTCTACTTTGTTTCTTGTAGGGAATAGAAAATATAGGTCTTCACTGCAAATGGACTCTAACTGACTCCAAGTAAGAGTGATATTATTCAGAAAACAGTTAATCATGTATTGATTTAATTTGTAGTTGTGAAAAACAAGCATTAATTTTATTTTTGAATACTCACCCACTAGTGCTCTAGAAGAAATGAGATATGCTACTTGGGTGGATAAGAGTTGAAAAGTTTTCAGGCTACTAATCAGGAATTTAAAACCATTTTGTAGGAGGCTTTTTACAGTGTTCTTTAGAAGGGTTGTTATAGAGGTAATAAAGATTGAGGTTGATGGCAATGGTACCCATCATCTGGATCAGGCATCAAGCCATGGCAGTTCATCAAAAAACTTTGGTATGGGTTACATACTGTATTTTTTTTGTTGGGAGTCAATGATAAAATAAAATTGTTTAATTTCTCTTATAGAGACTAAATTGTGTCCACATTCAGCTTGGCATTCTCATTTTAACATCATATTTTTAGCTCCTGTTTGGGGTTGCTGAAAGGATCTTGTGTATCCCTCTCAGTCTCTCATATCATCTGTGTTCTTCCTCCTTCTCTTTTCCTATTTATCCTTTCTTTAAGATACATTTCTCAACCACCTCTCTTTTCAAATGATAAGATTACTTCTGGATCATACCTTTTTCTCCTCTTAAAGCTCTCTTAGTACAAGAGTGGTGTTTTAATTTCAAACAGAATGAAATGAAAATGAAAACTTATTGGTATAATTTTATGTATTAATAGTAACTATGCAGTATAATGTACACATTAGTCCTATGCATGGTCAGGAAGAAAAATAAGATATTGAAACAGTTACTTCATAAACATAACATTTGATTTTTGTACTCCTGCAGTTGGAAAACACAAGAAAACAATCAAACGAGTTTTAAGAAAGTGTTGTCAGGTATGTTATTTACTTGAAATCTCTTAATTCCAGCAAAAGTTTTGATTATGTCTGACATTAAATTTTGTTTGTCAGAAATAATGAATTACTTAAATTTTTTCTATTGTCATTGTAGTTATTTATTAGTAAGTTTATAGGGTGGCATAAATACTCCAACTTGCTGGCAAAAGATGATAGGGATATGTGTTTGTTATCTGATCAACTATTCCTTCACCTTGTAACAGACAAGAACCTGTTACATCTTTCTGACACTTAGAATTTCTCAAAACAAGTTATATGTATGCCTGGATAAGTTTCAAATTAATTGTGTAGTTATAAGAAGGTGATAAAGTCAGTCTTTATCTTAGTCAACTATTATGTTATGATCATGAAGTTTAGTACCATTCTGCTTCTATCACACATCTAAATAAACTTTCTCTTGATTTATTAAATAGTATGTAGGTATTCACATTTCCAGTGTAGATGTCAACCTTGGTAACAAACAATTACCTGGTACATTTTTCCAATGTACTCTACCCAATGGCATGCAGTTTTGTGCAAGATCTGATCATGATCGGTGAGGTTTAGTTCATTTATGAGTACAAATACCTGTTAATTGGACAGTGGAACTGCAAATTCATGATTAGCTCTTACACCAGGTTTCAAATGATTCATTGTCTTGTAAAATATGTTGTCTTTCAGTCTATGTTCAACCTTGGAAATAAGCAAGATTGGGACACGATTATTTCAAGCAGATAATGAAAGTGTGCAGGTAAAATTCTGTCTGTTATTAGAGATTTAGAAGATTTTAAGTGGCATTTCCATATCATCTAATAACAATAGCAAACTTATATCTATTTCCCACAAGTACTACACACAATGATATCATTTTACCAGAATGTTTTTCAATGTTAGGAACCATTAACTTTAGTATTGAAAAATTAACTCAACCAAATTCATTCTTACAGGGCACAACCACTGTTGCAGAGTCATCCAACCCTTTTGCAGAGATTTCGTGTTCAGTCCTCGCAGAAATTTCCGTTGTGCCATTTGAAAGAATTCAATTGATGGTAAGTTGCTACCCCTCACCTTCCTTCTAGAAATCATACACCTTATTTTGAATAAAATTATTCAAATGGATAACATGAGATCCTAAGATAGAAGAGTTAAGAATTTTGTCTCCTTTTGTGCATCTTGAAAAAACTAGCCTTATGTAAGGCATAAATGTTTGTCAGCCTGAACCCCTCCCATGCCCTTTTGTTCTACTCTGATCTATTCTGCACCCCCCCCCCCAAAAAAAAAAATGTGATGTTCATGATAAATTTTGATGGCTGTTCCCAATCTAAAAGCATTTCTTTAAACATTAAAAGTCACATAACTTTATACAGTTTCACAATTCTTTAAAAGTGAACACATCAATTCTGAGCCTCACTGAGCAAGTTGATTAATTTACCCTTCATTACAGACAGCATCTGTGAATGTGAAAAATACAGATATTTTACTTTCAGAGGGTAAGTGCATGATAGTGTTCCTTTTTCTGTCAGGTACACTTGAGGCTACCCACAGTGATTTTATATTGTTTTTATTAGTGATGTGCAACATATACTTAATGGACAAACCTCTACATATCAATTACCAACTCAACAGTCTAAGTATATTACTTGTTTTGGCTGCATTCTTCTCCAATGACCAGGGTGCACATGCATGGCATGGCAGAGTCCAACCCAAAGGAGCAGAACCCCAATGCACAGATCACAAACCCCCTTTGGCTTCACTAAAAATTAATTGAGACAGTGGCATACGGAGCAAATTTTTGCTAAATTCAAAGTAAAATTGCTTAAAATCAGGAAGGTCTTCAGAAGCTTAAACATGCAGTACCTAAATAATTACTTTTTAAATGGGATATATGTGGTTTATGGAGAATGCCTCTCCTTTAACCATTAAGAACTTTTTTTTATCACAAATCATTCTTTAAAGGATTGCTTGGAGTTAGAAAATCTCAAGATGGTAGCACTCTGGAAGATACTCAGACTCATGACCTATCCTCCCCACCTAGACCTTTGACACTGATGGAAGTCCAAGAGAATATCTCAAGGTTGCCAAAGGTAAAGAACCTGGATGTAGCCAGCTGTTTTTAGATTATTGTTATTTTTATTGATAAGGACTGTATGTTCTCTAATTGGTTTGTTAAAATATTTAAGCATATGGGTAGTTTGATTTTCTTTATTTGATATATTTAATATTTTGAAAATTGACAGTAGGATGTTCTCTTCTTTATTCAGGATGTCAATGTTGCCATGGAGAGCGTAACTGTTACTTTTCTAAACAAAGATAAAAGGTATTGTTGTTTTTGTTGTTGTTGTTTTAATTTCAAGGTTTATAAGGCCTACAATCTAAGTCTTTTTTTGTTTTTCAGAAAATTTGTGTTGGAGGTAAACCGAGTAGACAGCCATCTTCATTCTCAGGAAGAGTTAGATACGAACTCATCAGATACCACTCAGTGTGGTTTGAGTTTACAGATATCAGGTAGTGTTAGTAACAGTAATCAATCAGCTTTTGGTTTGGAGTCACCTTAAACATGTTGTCTGTGATTATTGTAATTGCATATTTTACATTTGATTTTCTCCTTCATCAATCCCAGGAGCAACTGCTAGAAGTACACAATCTCACAAGATTTTTGAATGGACCAGGCTTAGAATTACCTCAAAGGTACTTATAGAAAACGAAGACATGCACTCAAGAAAACATCCTCCTGAAATTATGATATTACTCCACTGGTTCCAATCATGTGGCAGACTGGTGCAGTAAACTGGGAACAAACAACAGTCATGTTTAAAGTTTCTTTTCAGTATGGTTCCTGTCAAACCATGTCTTTATCCATCATTCAATATAAATTTTTGACAGTTTTCTTTATGTAAGGGAGCTTATCTCCACACATCTGGAGGAGGGAGGGGAGGGGAGAAGGGGAATCAGTTTTCCTGTTATACACACTTCCCATCAATTTGCATTTTTTTTTTTGTCATTCACAGCTTTCTTGCCCCTATGATACCATGGCACTAACTTCTACGTTACACGTGGAATCTGTTCACTACACACATGTCCAGGAGGAATTTGTTTATTGGTTGGAATACTTCAAGTCTAGAAGAAAACATATGTCACTGAAAAAAATAACTGCTCCAGAACTTACAAAAATTGATCAACAGTAAGTTGTTCATTCTGAAAAGTAACTGACTTTTCTCTTTTTGCTGATCTAATCATTGTTGTTAATTTGATATATGCTTGTTCTCCTCTTGTTCCTTGAAGGTCAAAGATAAGTATTTTGTCCAGACTTCCTGCAGAGTTGGAGGTGACAACCTCCATAGATATGACAGATTGCTCCACAAGTATGTTCATTTCCCTTCCTCATCAAAATGCTCAGCCCTTGAGTCAAGCTGTGTTTACATCGCTCACTGGGGATGTCAAAATGTCAGCACAAGGTAAATTGGGATAACTTACTTTGACTGGACTTGCATGTAAGTTTTGTGGACAAGAAAATCATGCAAATAAGTTATCATACATATGAGTCTTGTGCACAAAATTTCTTACTGCTGGTACCACTGGCCCACAAGAGGGTGACAGAGGGTCTTGATGCGATGTTCAATGAAGGCCAACATTGATATGTGACAAAAAGACAGGTATGATGGGTGAATTTACTAACAAGTACAAAGGAATCATTTGCGTCCTTAAGTGTCAGTGACATGTAAATTTTTTCATATTTTTCTCAAGATTTCCTTGAAACCTTGTACACAAGAGAAGAGATTTGAAGTTTTTCCCTTTTATATGACACATGACTTTTTTTAACATTTAAGCATGAAACATGAATTTAAGCATTAGAGGGATCGCCTGCCCCCCCCATTCCATCTCACCCCATCTTCCTACTCTCACATGAGTTGGGGTTTTTTATTGTTTGAGCTTTCAAAGTCAAAACAAACAGACTGCAAATGGTGAATTAGGGATGGTCTCAATTTTTTTTGTCTGTTATCTAAACAGATTTGCATCATGTTACCACTGGAAGGGAGCTGAGGTAAATAATAGTGTAGTGTGTTTTAATTTTCCTTAAATGCACACAGTATTGTAGTAGAGGAGCAGGATATACTGGGACTATGTTTCACCTCTCCTTGGGTATCATGGAAGTTGGTCCTGATTCATTTGATTCCAATTCATTCTTAACCTGTTTCTAGACAAATATTTTAAAATACTTCACTATTATTCACCAAAGTGGAGCTGAAGAGTGGTGGATATTTACAAAGCAACCAAGTTACAAGGGAAATATCCACCTCTTTCACCAACTCTGAGGATAATAATTGATAGTATATGCCACACGGAAACCAAAAAGTCATTTTTGTTTTTGTTAATACACTGAAAAATGGTCAGAAATACATCTTGATGCGTGATTTTGTCTCTTTGGCTGCTGAGAGGTGAAGAGTACTTGCTAATCAATCAGTGCACGCAATGAGCACTATTCACCCGTATGAAAAATACTAACACTTTTCATGTGGTGTTCCTGCCAACCAGTATCAACCTACAACTGGAAAACTGTTATCTATATATGGATACAAGTCAAACAGCTTTTGTTGAAGTTTCTAAGAATAGTGTTTTATTAAACACTTTACAAGACTATCAGTCCCTTCTTCCAAGTTCTTCTAAACATGTCTGGGGCAGAGTGCTAGCTCTTGGAGGCTGCAGTGTTAAGGTAATCTTGAGTGCTATTGCATTAACATTATGTAACACTTCACTGATACCTGCTCCCCATTTATGATTCTGTGTAATGAGAGGTGAGGCATAAATGATCTGTTTTGCCTAAGAACACAACAGATGAATCCAGTCTGAACTCATACCTGAACCTGCCCATGTAGTTATTGTATTTTTCTCTTTTCAAAATGATATCCACTTTCAATTTTGATAATGGCTGTAAGTTTCCATTTGTGTCTATTTTAGGTGACAACTGAACTCATGGAAGGTATTGAGATACCAGCCAGTGTTAGAGTGACTGGCGAAGTGAGTTCATTGTTCATTGAGTGGTCACATGATGTATGCAGATTGTTGCTTGAGTGGTTGAAGCTGAGTTCTTTTAAATCTCAAAACACTACAGAGGAAACAAATTCCACAAGGAGACACATAGGTATAAATCACTGAAAAAAAAGAAGTGACTATTGCACCATTCTTAAGACGTGTGCTGGTACTTAAATGATTTCAGATGAAAGTTAAAAAAAAGCAAGTCATTTTTCAAGCTGCATAGGCCTATGGCATGAGTGCAAGTACTAATCTTTAGAAAAATTTTCAAGTGCTAACTTTTACCTAAAAAGCATAAGAAATAACTGGGTTACTTGTTTTAAGATGATAATGTGGTATTTGATATTAATATTTTTCTTTAACTTTTTTGCACTTTTTTCAATGAAAAAATATGTAATGCATCAGTGTAACTCTTATGTTCAACCTCATTTGCAATTTATATAGTGTAATGAATTTTTTTTTCTTGACAGTGCTTGATTTGGATTTTAGAGTTTCTGCAGTTAACTTGTTTTATCTTGGAGGACTAGAAGGTTAGAATGTCATTTTATCACCCAAGATGGGATCATTTTTACCAGATGGGTGTATATGTTCATTGTGGATATAATGGTCAATGAGTACTGAATTAATCACATCATAAAACAAAGTCTCTAACAATTGTACATCATGAGGTTTTTTCAGCTATTGTTTGTCTAGTCTTTTTCTGGCAATAATGTTAAATGATGTTAGCATGATTTTTAGGGACTAATGGTGAGTCTAAGTCTGCTTTATAGCTTTTGTGTGGATGCGTGGTGGTCTCATGGTTAGTGCGCTCAACTCCGGATCAAGTGGTCCGGGTTCGAGCCCTAGCCATGGTCATTGTGTTGTGTTCTTAGGCAAGACACTTTACTTTCACAGTGCTTCTCTTCACCCAGGTGTACAAATGGGTACCAGCAAATATGCTGGGGGTAACCCTCTGATGGACCAGCATCCCATCTAGGGGGGAGTAGCAATACTCCTAGCCACTTCAAGCTAAAGGAAACTGGAGTTAAGCGCTGGCCCCATGGGCCACTTGGGCCTGTATAAAGGCTTTACTTTTTACTTTCACAGCTTGATCATCACCTTACCAAGTGTACACTAAAATTTGTCACTTTGTATTGCACAGGAGGAGTGGATTCCTTTATGATGAGAGTTGATATGGTAGTAATGAATGCAACATCAATTCCTGAATGGTCAATTAACAATGAAATCTTTGGAATGAAACTATGTCGTCTGATTGGATTAGAAAAGGTACGAGGTGTTTCTCTGAGATAAGCATGGCCTTCTTTCTCCCTCTTCTTCTTTATTGCTTCATAGTTTCAGTCCCAATAAGAAAGACTGCTTGTTGGTAAAGTTGGACAGTGAAGCTCCTTAAGTATATATTTTCTTTAAGAAGAATTACCAGACTAAACTCTCTAAAATTACCCTCTCTCTTTTCTAAAGTATTTGGGACTTTTTTTTTTGTTTGCTGACAGGTGCCATACAAATGTGTCGTCTCTGTGGAAATAGAAAGTGACCTTCTCAGCATCCCTTTTGCTACTGTTTCAATTTCAGGAGAAAAGGTGAGATTGATATCACATCTTCAGCAATTATTGCTGAGGGAAAGGATGGCTTGCTGGATAATGCTGAGTGATTATGCCAAAATGTGCTCTAATGCTCAACCACTTAGAGTACACACAGATTTTCTTTATTCATCTAAGCAATTATTTCTTATTTTTGAATTCCTCAAAACAGATTCTGTTTGCCCCCTTTCCCAAAAGTGCATGCTTAGTGGCCTTCTTGTCCTTGTGAAAGTCTTGTTTTAATTATTTTGTACTGGCCAGAAAAGCTAATGTACTTGAAAGTAAAAGAAAGGTTACCAGGGTGGCTATTTTAAAAAAGGTTTGTACTCATATTAGTAAAACAAATAGTTTTTGTTTACATTTCATCTTACAGACTTGTTTGATGTCTATTAAAGAAATATTGATAAGTTGGGATTCCACTTTACACATGGCCATTCATGAAAGAATGAAAGAACTAACTGATGATGGTGCTGAACTGAGAGGTAGGCAGATGTTTATATGGGACAAACTAGAGCACATGATGTAAGGACAATAAAGTAGGACCAATTACATCTGTGTGATTTGGAAACTTTGAGTCCCAACACACAGATTCAAAACCTGTTATGGGAGTGAGAAGATTAAAATACACAGCATGTAACGTCCCCTCAACTTTTTATTCTTTCTTCAGTTGATGCTTCTTGAATCTCACAGATCATTTATGCACTGCTTTGCTTTCTTACAGCTTTACTACAAGCATCTGTGAAAGATACTGAGAATTGTTCTCCACCAGAAAAAGAAAGCACACCCCTTCATCTTGTCTGCAACATTACATGGGTTAAATTTCAGATGCAAACTTCACCAAAGACCAGGTATGTCTCTGTCCTACCTAATTAATTAAAACACAATAATTTTCCAGCAAGCAGATCATGTGCTGTCTGTATTTACTATATCAAGAAATTGTTAGAAATGTAATAGTTTCTGTTTTCTTGATTTTGCTACAGCTTTGGTGTCGAATGCAAGATTTGTTCATTGTCATTGGAAAATGGTGCACTGGATATGAAATCTGACTATACTGGTTTACTCTTTGATAATCAAAGCATATTTAAATTTGAGGTGGGGTTTGTTTCAATTTCAAAGTTAAGATGATCACGTTGTCTGTTTCTTGTTTTTCTGGTGTGTAAACTTTTTTTCTTCTTTAGGCTTCTGTAATGGTATTGACTGCTACTATTTAAAGGTATGCACTTGATTGGGAACTGAAAGGTTTGCATTCAAGTGCTGAGTGGGAGTTTGGATAAAAGCTGTCTTCAGGCAGTCTACTGCTGCCCATAAGACCTCTAACCACTGTCTGTTTAGCATACCTCCAGAATCCCCTTCAGTGGAGAAAGTGGCATTAAATTTCTGGGCACAGCCACTTCTTACACTATCAGCAGCCTCTTATGGAAAAAGTTATTTAAGCCCCTGACTGATCGGCATGTTGGAGTTGGTGTTGTGGTTAACACTCTCTTCTCACACAGTGTCTTGTTCACTCAGGGGTGTGAATGGATACCACCCAATGGTCTTTTCATTAAAATGCTACTTGCTTAGTAAATTTGCAACAACCTTAATGTAATGTTTGTTTTTACTCAGACAATTTCTATTAAGAGACTTCAGCAAGTCGAGGAAGTTCTGAAAGTGAGACAACAATTCAGGGAGCTGAAAACACAAAACAACACAACATGGTTTGTATAAATATTTAGAGTGATAATTTGTACAATTGTACTTGTATTAACTAAATCACTGAGCCTGTATTCATCACAAAAAACGTAGGTAAACCACTACTCAGTAACTTTGGTTGCAAGATTAGTTGTTGTATCCTTGCCCTACTGGAATGGCTAAATTTTATTACCAACAAACTAGGTTTTTATTAATGCACTGAATCATCAATTTTTCCATAGGATTATTCAGGCAGAAATGACACAAGTCTGTTTTCCTTTCATGTTTAATTTTGCTGCTTCAAGAGATGAGGTTTGCCCCTTTCTTAATTCCCTACATTGTACATGAATTCTCCACAGGGCAAAGCCTGTGAAAAAATGTGTCAATTTTTTAAGTGTTTGTGTTATTCAGGAGAGTAGACACAGTGGTGTGGGGTGAGTGCCAGGAAATTATGAAGGCTCAGATGCACTTGCTTTACACTTGCAACAGCTTGCTTGAAAAATAAAAAAAAAGAAATTGATATTGTGAAGGTTGCACTCAGCCACTCAGCTGGATTTGTTTCTTAGCAGTCTCAAGTTAATCACCTCTGCTTGTACATAGACAAATGCTTTGCCTTCAGCCAGGGTGAATATTTGGATTTGAACTGTTTCATTTTTTTATACTCAGTGTCCCCACTTAGGAAAGAGCCATACTCTTCCATAACATTATTAGTAAATTCAAAGATAGTATTAGTGTTGTTTTTCACAGGCTTACCACTGCCTCTTTTCAGCTTGTTAATGTGTTTAAGATGCTAAAGTCACTTCACGGTAAACCCAAGGATGAGTCCTACGTCGAACAACTTCCTCCAGATTTATGGCTTAATTTTGAGGTAAATGCATTGGGTCATTTTAATTTTAGATGTATTGAATGTTAGAAAAATACAAAATATATGGTTGAAACTTTTATTTATTGTATAACTTTAATTACCAATACGTTTTATTTTGTTCTTATCCTTTTTTCCTTAACCCCAAATAATTTTTTCAATTTAAAGAGAATAACCTTTGAGATTGAAGATGATCCATTCGAAGTCAAGTTGAGGGACAACTATGCTGTATGTACACTTTTCAAACATTTTCTTTCATGTAATAGTGTAGTTTGAACGTCTGGGTGAGTGTAGTCCTGAGAAGGACTGTTATCGGTAGTGGTGACTGACGTTTCGACAACCTGAGCGGAAGTGGCATTTGGTATAGTCAACTGAGTTGATAACGTAAATTGGCCACTGTTCAGAGTTTGACAGCTGACGTTTCGAGTGTTAGCCCTTCGCCATTCGCTCTCAGCTGACGAACGACTAACAATCGAAACGTCAGCTTTCAAACTCTTAACCCTTTAACTCTTAAGATCTGATTGTTAATTCTCTCCTCTAGCTGCTATACATTTCCTTGTAAATTAGCTATGAGAACTTGGTGCTAGATCAGATAGCAGCTTCTACCTGATAAGTTCGAATATTCTCAGTACCTGTTTGCAGAATAATGTATGGATATTATAGGGAGAAGTTTCATGTCAATCACTTCTGGGAATTAAAGGGTTAATGGTGGCCAATTTACGTTATCAGCTCAGTTGATAATACCAAATGACCTTGCTATACTCTCCCACCGACGCAGCACCAAAGTTTTTTTAAAAACTACTCCCCTTATTCGGTAGTGTAATGATGTTTCTAAAGACGGGGTTTGTTCAGGCCTGGATGGCCCTCTGGATTGTATGCGGATATTATTTTGGTACAATTGTATTTTTTCCTCTTTTTCCTCAGTTACTGCTTGATGAGATGGAACAGTGGGACGAGAGACAGCAGCTACTGGCAGCTAAGTTAGATGAGATCCGAAAGAAGCCTGGAAACTTACTAACAGGTTAGGTTACCTGAAGAGGCGGTTATGGGAGTCCAGTGGCACAGGGGGGTTTTGCTTCGTTAAATAACAAATGAGATGATCTGTAATACAAATTATCATAATCATGAAAAGAATATGACATAATCCTGAGAGTCAATATTACCAGGAGCCAAATCAGAACTTAATATAAACATGCGTGGATGATCGTAGGAGTGAGGACACGAAGTTAGCAAGTTGAGAATGGTTTTCGTTTTGCATATGATGAGGATACAGCAAAGCTTTCCCAGACGAGTGGCAGCGCGCAGTGACGTAAACGGATCATTACAAATACACACTTTCAAAGCTCCCTTGAAACCTGCTTTATCCTTATTTTGACTTCCTATGAATATCTTGGTCTCAAAAGGATTGAGGGATACTGTATTTAAGTTCTGAAACAACTGAAAAACATAACAACATTTAGAAACTACAAGTTTTGCTGTGCCAACCAAATTCGTCAGAGAATGAAATGTTTACAGGGGAGATTCTGATTTGATTTGAATTTGTTATGATAGTGAAAAAAGAAGAAGAACTGAAGCGGTCTTTAGAGGAAAAAAATTCTCAGATCTACATTCGAAGGTCCCAGGTAAGTCACACGTGAAGGTTCACATCACGTCTCACATGTATCTTACCTTGTAATTCGTATCACGAAAGAAAGATTTTAGATATTCCTTTAGACAGATTTCGTGAGAATTCTTCCAATCAGGTGACATGCATGTACTTGTGTTACCCTGTAACAAAGCGTCAACCAGGGAAGCCATGGATTATCACTCTCTCATTATCTTCTTTACCAGTTCTTCTACAAGTATCGCGTGATAGTAAGGTTATTTTAAAGTTGACCAAGAAGACGATCCTTAGAAGGTTTTATTGACTGAAGGAATAAAAGTGTCCCTGAGGTTACAACCTTAGCTTATCCGCCCCGTCCATCCCCTCCCTCCCCCCCCTCTCACTGGGACAAGAAATAGAAAGAGTTGAATGATTCACTTGGTTTAAAGTCCTAACTGAAACAGTTAACCCAATCTTCTGTTCACGTGCAGTTCTGAACTAAACAAATCAAACCGTGGCACTGGTCTCGATATCCTTGTTTACCAGGGGAAGTCTTCTTAAATTTTAATTACCATTAGCACCACCTTTTGATATGCCTACCATCATCTAACTTTTGGTAAGCCCGTTGTTAAGGTTTTGATGCAAGGTGACATTTTTTCTTGATGTGCTACAACAGACTCTGTATGAGCAGACTCCGATGAGAACTGCTCTGCTGACCTGGGAGTTTCACGGCTTGGATCTTATTGTTTTGGCTGATGAGTCTTACCATGGACAGGAAAAGGCCATGAAGATCATGAAACAACTCAACAGTGATAGGTACATGCATGCTCTTTCTTAATCTATTATGTAGTTTTGAGTGTCGTAACTTACTTCATTCCTTTTTGCCTCTGTTTGTACCTTTGTCAGCGTTTTCACATTACCTGTAATAACAATAAGTTCTAACAGTACGAAAAAGGTGTGAAAACTCGTATTTCCAAACCATCCGCTCTGTGATTACGTACGGGTAGTATGCATAAAAGAACACTTTTTTTATGGGGGGGGTGGGGGGTGGGGGAGAGGTTTAGGGGAGTGGAGGCAGGTGCAAGTGGAGTGAAGGAATGTAGAGTGTGGGAGCGAAGAGCGAGAGTCACGTAAGTTACTCCGGTGGGGCGCTGTGCTTGCCTTGCTATCATCCTCACTAGCATAAAAATGCAATTGAATAAAGTAACCGTCCAAATAAGGTAGGTGTTATGACTTCTGTTGATCAGATAAACTAATATCGTCCTCCCACTTTAGCCCATACCCAGCTTCAGGACTTAAGTTTACAACACTGTGGTGCCGGACAATTCAAGGACAACTTCAGTCACACAAGGTTTGTCAGTGAGCCGTTTTATCAAATGCTACTCCACGGCTAGAAATATTTACTCTTTTGCAAAAGTAAATACTGATTGATACGATTTTCTATGCCCGCATTGCAGTGTTGTCTGAGAGATTTTCCTCAGCCAATTTTTACCTCAAAGTCAGTTGAATTACAAGGAACGCTTCTTGGTGCGGAGCAAAAACCAGCAGACCGAGGTATGTTTTTGATGAGTTATTGTGCTGTTTTGCAGGGCCACGTTGATGTTTCATTTTACTTAAGCGTTTAATTGTGGTTTCCTCGTCGATCTATAAAGGTTCTACTGAATGAGGCTAATATTACAGTACTGCAGCTTTTACAGACTAATTTTTTAAAATTATGTTTCAGCCAAACGAGAAGCCGTGGTAGAAATTGGCAAGCCTTGGGACAATATAACGATATCTCGAAGTCTAAGTTCCTTGAAGTTCTTTTATGATCTGAAGTTTGGTATGTCAAGTTCATGGTGCTTAATGTTGCACTGCACACCTTTAAGGCGCATAATCTAATGTGTTGTTAGAGCACATACAATTGAAAGGTGGTTCTTTTTTTCACTCTGGTCCGAGCTCTTTAAAAAGGGAAATCGTTGATATGTCGTCAACGAGTGTGGTAAACTATCTGTTTTATCGATTCGTCGTTATTGAGAAACCACTTTAAAACGGATGAATTTATAATACTCTTCTTGTGGCTCAATGTGTATGGTATACTTTATTTTTTGTACTTCAGATGCAGAAATTGTTGAGATGGCGTGGGGTGTGGACATTGAACCTGTCTTAGCTATGGTGTCTTTCACATTTGGTATTATTAATTTTTACAATTTTTTTTCTCCATTGGTAACTGCAAAATTATAGTAGACTTATGTTGGTTATGATCCAATTTTTCCTGTGGAGCAAGTTTCTCTCTGTTAACACTGTGCCAAATATTATTCTTGCAGAAAAGTTGAGTTCTCCAAGTCGTGACGCAAGCAAGCCTCTTCCTTTCTTTGACAAAGTATGTTTTAAACGAACGTTTGATTGTAATTTTTTGATAACTAAAGGGGCCCGCTGACTCCAGCCAAGGGAACGCAAACGTAGCTTGAGGTATTATAAAGTGTGAAATAGCAGATAGATGACTGAAAAAAGGCTATTCATGAAAAATGGTGATAAGTTTTAGATAACGTGAAAAAGAAGGGTTTTTTTGCCATAATTTGTGGTGATTGTTTAAATGTTCATCCCACAGATGCGCCTGCTGTATCATGGCCATCTCCACCTAGCCATGCGCGAATGGTACCTGTACTTTAGTGCATCCAGGAATCCTTATGATACTACAGAGAGGATGCAGTGGGAGTGGAAACAGGCTAAATTTGATTGGACCAATGGTATGTGAATGAAACAATTCCCTGTTTCCGTAAGCGTTTTTGAAGAGACTCTATCCTCTTTGATACCCCTGTGCTGAATGGACATTATTTTTTCGTGGAGTTAAACTGTAGCTCCAAGTATCTTGCTTGATTATCTTAGACTTTCAAACGAGGAGCCATTCTTTAGCATTACGAGTCTGAGCAATCTGTTCTGGTTACTTTCCAGGTCGAATTGTTGTTGAAGGTGATTTTGACCTGCATACCAGGGCAGCATCTAAGTATGATGATCGACAGGTTCTCCATTTGCCTGCATTTAAATTATGGTGAGTTAAACGTCGACGAGAAAGCAGGATGAAAATCAGGATAGATAAAGGGTACATAAAGAATGCATTGCTTGGGAGAACTCAATTTAAACGCGTGCACACTCCCTTGAGCGCGGAAAAATACAAATGGCAAAGTCATAGTTGGTTTTACTTTTGCATCTGATTGGTGGAGAGGTTTGTGCGAATTTCCAGGCAAATGAAAGAGCAAAGTTAAGCAAAACCAGTGAAATCCTGAATTATTTTCAACACCTGAAAATTGCTAAAAATGTCTGATCCTGATTCCAGCACAAGCATGAAGTGGCATTGTCAGGGTGATCCAAATGATCATCACTCAGTGATTCAGTGTGCTCCAGACAAAATACCACAACTGGCTCCTAACCAGGTATGTAGGAATGCAGCAAGAAACAAAAGGGATGGTTAATAATTATCTGCTAATGATTTTGAGTTGTTTTTTTTTTAGGTTCATGACTCATATGCAGCTTTCAGATCTCAAAACCTTACTCTAGACGTTTCCCTAGAAACAGGATTGACCAATAAAAAGGTTTGTTCAATGAAGGAGTTCACTTAATGGTATCAATGATATTCATCCCAAGTGCATGATATAATGAACATGAATTTTAAATCTTTTAAATCCAGCTATTTTAATATATTTACCAGCTTGATAAAACATCAAACTATCCTTACTAATTTACAAGAAAATCTACAGCTGTCAGAAGGGAGAGTTTGTTGACTTTGTTTAATTAACTTGACAGGACTACTCCCAGAGCGACCCACCCAAGCTGTTCATGTTTGCCAGCACATTTAGATGGTTCCAGAAATATCAGGTAAGCTTCCAAAAGTATTCAGAATATTTCTGGTGAACAGCATTTGGACTTAGATTGATGACAATAGGAAAAAAAGCGTGATTAGATATTTGTGCACGGTGAGGAAATTGTAGTTAGGTTTAAGTTTAGACATTAACGCGATTGGAGAGCTTCATTTGTCATTTGGTTATAGGCTGTGGTGTTGTGGTATGTGTCACGGCCAATCAAGAGAGGAACTTATTTTAAACGGAACCGGGTGAAGAAGCGTCCTCTTGGACGACATTATAGGTTAGCACATTGTTCATAGTTTCTTTTGTTTTTGTTCGTTATTTTATTAAAACAGCTTTAAAAAGAGAGACGTAACAAATTCACAGACATCAAATTTAAGATAAGACAACGAAATTAAAGCTGATTTTGGCGGAAATAAAATCTCTCTCTCAGAAATGGTGACTGGAATTTTGGTTTTTTTTCACAATAGACTTTACTAGTAATTTACTTAGCCTCAACTAAACACGAGTGGTGTTGGGTGAATTTTGGGAGGTATGCCAACCCTCGAATGCGTCTCAGGTTTGCCTAACTTTCGATCATTCTCTCAACCTCCTTCAAAAATACCCGCGAGTCCAAAAGCTGAATGTTACGTGAGAAATCTATGCTGTACTAAACTAAATGTCACCTTCCACAGGGAGGTCAACTTATCGCTGCATTTTCCCGAATTTTCTTGGTGGTACTGGGGCTCATTTACACAACAAAGAGGGTTTGAGCTGTCACTAGGGAACGGTTTTCTAGAGACCACCTACCGCCTGGCGCTCAGAGAGCATCGTGATGGCCTGGTGCGGAGACCAGCTGCTGACTGGAGTGCAGCTAAACTTCGAAGTGAAGTGTTGAATGTTACGTGTCATTTGTACGGTTTAGAAGAAGTGGATGGAAAGGAAAGCAGTGATGAGTATGCGGAGGTGTGTTGGTGTCTCTTAACCTTTTACATCCTAATATCAGTATGCATATTCTCTATACTGTTCTCTATTGCGGAGAAAAAATTGTGTAAATCGAGAGTTTCTTTAATTGGGGATTATTTCCTCTATTCTTTTGACCTTAATTTTTGATTCAGGGGTGTTATTGCAAGGAGAAATTAGGTGTTAGTCTTACTCAGGGGTCAAAGGGTGAACCTTTTTACTGCTGAGGTCCTAACAACGACGATTACTTAGCTTTGTAAATGACAACTTCGTATACTGACTGAGGTGTGCTTAAAATATATGCACATCACTATTCAGCTTCATTAAAACGCAACTCTGTGAACTGGTGTGTGTTTCGTTGGATTTTTTCTCATAGTAAAGTCTTACGATACTTTCAAGAATTAAAATTGATTAAGCTTTTGAATCAAAACATGAATTATAACCCAGTGAGTACTTGGAAAAACAAACGGTTTTTGTGGTTTAACGAAAACGATTTTGCTTTATTTAAAATCATTCTATTGTTTTTCAGGTTAGTTCTATAGACTTGGAACCCACAAAGTACTATCTTCTTGCAGCATCAAGGCGAGTTTTGTGTTGTGAATACTCAAAAAAATTAAATTTTCAAAAGTTCAAGATTCAAGTTTCGCAAAACAAATCATGGCCGAGATTTACCGTCGTTTGTTCCTAGCTAGTGCAAGACAATTTGCTCATTTGCTTGTATGTGCTAACAGAAAATGCGTGACATTGTCATTTTATTGCATTCGGGGACTCTGCGCAAAAGGGAATGAATGGGGCGCTTTCCATTCATCAGGTCTGGCTGAACTTGAAGTGCTTCTTGCCAGTGTAAGTGGAAAACAGTAGACAGTTCCTTGTGATTATGAATACCTGTTCTCTTGGGCGCGTTTCTTTACGAGAAGGACCTTGAATTATTTAGTTAATGAGCATGTAGGGGGCGTCAAAACGAACTGGCTGAACTCAAACGACAGGGCTAATTACAACACAACCAGTTGAGTTAGTTCTCAGAACTGACCCGTTTCATTCATGGACAGGACCATTTGACAAATAAAAAGCGACCTTAGGTTTGCTTACATGTGAATATGCGACATGAATATGCTATTAATGCATCAGCGCTTTTCTTCTTCTTTGTGAGCAGGTTGGAGTACTCTCGTCAAGAAACGTCGAAGAAACAAGAATCATGTATAGACGGCCCTCCACCAGAGCTTCAGGTAAGTTGTATTTATATGGGTAAAAATTCCGCTTGTGGCAGTTGCCTGCTGCACTCGGAAGAATGACGTGTCATGAACTGCATTTACATGTATATTTATCCTGGTCAAGCCAAGAGGGAATGTATGACTACTAGGCTTCTTGATCAAAACTTGTCGTGCCGGTTCTTGGACATGGAAACTTTCGGAGGAGATTGTGAAGTGTTTGATGGTAATTTGTATTCAGAAAGTTTAGCTCTCGACACGTTTCCTTGGTTCGTTTTATTTGCTAATGGTTATGTCGATCAGGATGTGCTTGCTAGGGAAACAAGCCAGTTTAAATGCTGCCTTATCCAAGAGCATAACATCACTGAAATCCTAGTTAAGAATTGAACCTAGAGTTCTCCTTATCTGGTGTTATCATGTCATCATCATTTCGTCTTCACTCAAGGCGGAGGACATCCCACGGTTAAGCTAATTTGTTTTTATCAATATTTCTCCGACATAACAGAACTACAGTCATCGCGTTGTGTGCCATGACTTGAAGGGAGCCTGGACACTAACCAACCGTCGTATAGCATTTGGTCTGTTTGAAGCTTACACCAATGCTCAGGTCAGATGCACTGTGATCACTGTTTATGGATCATATGAAGTTTTGGTAAAATTATAACGGTCCTCTTTGTTTACCATCAGGTTTTGAAGAAAAACCTCTCCGCTGATGCTCTAAAATTCACAATTGTGGAAAAGAAGGACAAACAGGTATGTTTGGTGCCATCACCAAACGGCACAGCACTATTGAAGGTTTAAAAGGTGTATTGAACAATTCCCATCAAGTGATAAGTATTCTGAACGAAGTGGCTCCATGATCGAAGGAAGATGATTGTAATGATAACTTCTGAAGTAGTTCCTGTTTTGGTTTTCCTTAATACATTTACATTTTATGGCGTGTCACTCGCCGGCTTTTTTGTGAGGTTTCTCTGATAGTTAGCTGGTAATCATTTTTTACTCGAGGGTGGAAAGAGCACTGAAAGAGTTAATTGTAACTGTAAACTCAAAGGCACACTTTGCCCACCAGGATGAGTATAAAGGATCACTGGATGCTTCAGCCAAGGCTCGATCAGTGTCAGCAACAAACATGCTGGAAAAACTTGTTATGGAAAAGGAGTTGAAGTTCGTAGCGTTTGCTGAAGAGGTACAGTAACGCGAAGCCATTTTCGTCATTTCGTAGAATCCATAGAGGTAGTCACGTTCGAAATGGTTCTAAGAATAGTCTGTTAAGTTGCAAACTCCTGTGGATGTCATTTCTAAGAACCGGCATACTAAATACTCTATTCCTAAGGTTTAGATAACTCTATTTGTTGAGAAGACTACAAAGACCGTCAGAGAAAGTGAAAAAGGTGTACTCAGCATCTTTTCCTCTTCACCGAAGGCTAAACTGTAAATAACAGTTATTTTAACTCCTTCAGGGTACCGCTGAACACGAGCAAGTTACAGAAGCGCAACTTCATGGAGTGGCTTTGAGTACAACAAATGATGTCGTCGAATATAACTGGCATAGTAAGTAGTAGGCCTCATTTGAAAAGGTGTACTTTGTTGACTGACAGACAGTATCGGTCTCAGGTAGAACATCTCTAGTAAGAGCTAGGGAAAACGGGCTCTCTTTATAGCATACGGTGTGGCTATCTCCTGGTAAATTATTACAGAAAACTGCACTGAAATCTGACGCTACCAGATAATACACAGAGTTAAGTCATGAAGGTTATATCACCATTTGTTTTTTTGCTAGTTGCATTGGTGAACTCACAGATCGTTCTCAAAGGAATTGAGTCTGAAGGATGTGTACTGGTTGCAGCTGGTAATGCCAAGATATTGAACAGACTTCACACTCCAGTGTGGAGCAAAGGAGAGCTCTTTAACAAGAAGACATGGGTGGGAAATGTGGAAAATCTACAGGTATTTACCGAAGAAAAAAACACAGGCTTCTAACAAAACAAGATCTTTATCTTTGGTGATCATTTACAGGTAATCATTTCCTTTTTCTCCAGTACTTTGCCACAGTAGGTGCCGAGGACAATATTGGTTTAGACAGCACTCCTTGGTTAAATACCTCAGTGATCACGGGCCGGCAAAACAAGAACTCGTTCGATATAGCTGACCTGGCCAACATCGTGGGGTCAGGAGAGGCTGTTGGCGGAATGGTAGATGCAGATGTTGGGAATACAGGGCAGGAGCCCACGCAGTTACAGCGGATTGTGGCTCGTTGCGGCTGTGAATTTCATTTTGTGAGCTTCAGTCCTGATTTGGATCCTGTTGCTGAAGAACATGCGCATGAAGTCGTGGTGAGTAAAGTCTAAAGGAAATTCTTCATCTAATGTTACTTTCTTGCATGACAGAGCAATTTCAGTTGATTGTCGATGGCAGTCTGGTTTTGTCCGAGATCCTATGGGTTCTTCTTTACGTCGGCCATTGATTGGCTGCCGAAAAAATGCGCCTCCCCCTGATTAGAAACAAGTTTCAATCCTTCTGGGCGACTCGGTAACTTGTGTTTTTCCACTCTCCAGTTCCTTCTCAGAGTCTACTACTGCCTCCCTCCTTCTTTCTATTTCGCCGTTGTGATTTCTTTGTGTTTGGCTTTTCCACCTTTATACTAAATAAAAAGCTATCAAACAACTAGGTACATTGAAGTAGAAAAAAATTGAATTTGGTTGCCGTGAGCGCAGATCATAGTGAAAGCCTCTTATGAGTGAAAAAGAGGAAAGGAGGATGGAAACTTTCTGTCTAGCTCAAGGGGCAATTTCAAAACATTAAACCGAGTTGTTGAAAGTTTGTTGCTTAAATGCAAAACATTGCTGAAAACTTGAGTGATATGACTGTATGATAATGCTGGTAGTTTTAATTCAATTTGTCCAACATTTATTTGTTGTCACTCATTTTAGCCTCCATCGCATTCCAGTCATCTCCGAGAGGACAGACACGTGGCAGTAAACACTTTCACCATCAGACACAAGTTGCTGGAGATCTCCACTAACTCTGTAAGTTCTGTGTAAAGAAATTCTCGATTCAACTGCAACTTAATTGCATGTGACACTTCCCTACCCCACCCCCGTTGTCAAGAGAAACTGGCAATTTATGATGGTAAACTAGCTCCAACCTGGTGTCGAATGCCTGCACAACGCTTGTGAAGTAAAGACCCTCCGCTTTTCCCCTCACAAAGGAAATTTTTCCCCACCCATCTATCCTTCGTTTATCCCTAAACAGAAGTCCGCCAGTTTTGCTGATGTTATTGTTTTTCTTTCCTGCAGGCTCAGTTCGCCATGCTCATTGACATTGCCCATAATGTTGTGTTGTACACAGAACCTAAAAAGAAGGTGGGTAGTAGTTTCCATTTACTCAACAGCAGGAACTCAACTTTACTGCAACTTCTTTAAAGCAAACACCATACGATCCACGTTACCGTCCGCTCAATAAAGATACCCTTACATAGTGATCATTATATATATATGTCAACAGGAAGCGTTTGACAGACTCCAGAGAATGAGGTTTCAGTTACGTCTTTCCACTTCAGAAGATCAACGAGCTCAAATTCTTAGACTGCAGAACACTGTCAGGTAAGGATGTTATAAGCCTGCAAATAAATTGTATCAATGATTGAGCCAAAAAATTGCTACAACATTGATAGTAATGCGCAAGACACCAAAGTTCAATGGAACCCTACCATGAAGCATAGTAATTTTACAGGTTTAGGTTTTACAAGTGTATTGTGGATTGAGGAGAATTTCCTTAGTCTGCAAAAATAAGTTCCCGCAGTAAAAAAATCCGGAAACTAAAACGCCTCAAAATGTGCCCCCTTTTGTCCAAACAAAGATAGGGATAAGGTAAGATTTTTGTTTGATTTTGTCGGTGTGTTAGCCCTGTTAAGAGTTCAGTTTAGACTTCAGTGAAGTACCCTAACATGAGACGTCAGCAGTTCTGTTTCGCTGTGGTCTTTTTTACAGTTGAGTTGTTTTTGTTTGTAGATCTCTTCAGACGGAAATGCGGAGGTTAGAGAGAGAGCTGTATGAAGTGAACACGTTAAGAAAGGAAGCCATCAATGATCAAGAGTAAGACTTTTTAAGTGCAACAGTTAGGGCATATTTCGTTTGCGTGTTGTAAAGATCAGAACCAAAGTAATAAAGATGGCCAATCAGAACTATGATGAATACTTCAAGGAGCAAATGGGAACCCAAAGTGAACTCGTGTTAACCACCCTAAGCGCGGGAAAGCGCAAATTTCCAAATTGTCGCCGATTGCTTTTTACTTAAGCCCAGATTGGGTGAGTTGGCGCCTGTTTCTGTTGACCAAGCACAGAGCTGTTTCCGTCGTGTGTGTCTGCCACCATAAAAAACTGCCTGATGTATATAGTGCAAACTGATTGTTTGATCAGGTGAACAATTTTCTGCGATCAGCGTATAAAATATATTGCCTATCGTCTCTGGTTTTATCGATCACAATCAAATGACTCCAGTTTTCTCCTTTACTCCGGGATGAAAACGAAGCGAAAGAAAATATAATGATTCCTCACCCTGAATTTTATCTTGTTCAGGCTCACTGATGCTGTTATCCATATCGAGAGAGAAATCATACAGCTAAAGGAGAAGTTGAGTTCTTCAAGCACTGAACTGAAAATTATGATAAGGTGATTAGTCGTTAATTTTTTAAAGCATGATAGATACCCCTCTTTCTTCAAAACTTGGACTAACGTTCCTCTAAGCCCAGTGGCTGTTAAAGCTGGTGGAGCTAAGAGTGCTGCTGTGGCTCCAGGTTGGGAGCCATGGGTTTTCCTCGATATCTTTGGGACGAGTTCCCTAACATTTTGGCTTTTACATATGTCTCTACAAGAAACATACTGATGGCGCTTTCCATCGTTCAGGTTTGGCCAAATTAAGAGAACTGTATAACAGGATTGATACTGTGAAGAGAAGTTGGAGAGTTAAACAGTCCTCCATGTATTATACAGAAACAGCTGTTTTGTCCCGCTGAATATTAATAAATGTTTTTTTTCCTTCTATATTTGGCAGTGCGTACAAGGACTTTCTGATGAATTTGGACACGCCTACGCCTGAGAAAGGTGAGACTGTTCTTCAAAGGTCTTACTGCAATGATCGAGTGGGTAACCATTTGAATGGTCCTTCGTTCATTGGTCAAAAGAGAGTCGAGTTGAAGGGAATCATACGCGCTAGATGATTGGTAGTTTCTTGGGATTTTTCTCAGTCCGCAGCACTCGTTATGCCTTTTTCGTCTTATGTGTAGCACATTTTGAGAATATTTGCGTGAATAAAAAAGCAACAAATAATTAAATGACAATAAATGGTGATAGGATGGAAAAAAAAGATCAGGTGAACGTCGAGTACATGACACAGAAATCTTATCTTCCTGTCCTGTCCTGTCCTGTCCTGCTGTGCCTTGCCATCCTGTTCCATCCTGTAGCGATATATATACAGGCCACATACGATATTTTCATAATTTTTTCTGTTTCTCTGCTTCCCTTTTCAGTTACCACTGCGGAGGTGATTAAACTGGCTGAAGTTTACTTCAATCATGCTTCATGGCAGCTGAATCAAGAAGACGGACAGTTAGCCATAGCCGATGCAAAATTAACTGACTTCAGGTAAATAACCTGCTGTTGAAAAGCAGCTTAGGCCTAGAGTGGAATTCAAGCAAAACAACAGGGTTATAGAATTAAAATCTTGATGATGTGTATTTGTGTTGTTGATGTAATTGTTTATTTATTTTTTTGTTTTTGTTTTGGTTGTTGTAGAGGTGCCCTTACGTTCTAGAAACAAAAATGTTATCTTCGGTTGACCACGGTATATATTACTGGCCATTCATAACTCGTCAGATTACTCAGCAACATAAAGGATATATTTCCTGTTGAATAACTCGGATCAATATCAGTATCTGGGCAACTGCCCACCTACCCCTCCCCTAACTCAACAAGAGTCAATTGACAACAAGTTAAGGTTAATTTTGGGTTAGGGGAGGGGTAGGTGGGCAGTTGCTCAGATACTGATATTGATCCAATAACTCTTTCAAATGACTTTGTTAGTTACAGGAAAACTACTCTCAGGGGCTCCACTGTAGAACATCGGTTGGAATTGGGAAAGTTTCACGTCAGAAATCTGTTACCCAACAGCATTTATAAGGTAAGCTGACTATACTGAGAATTTCCTTGATTTCTATTAGAGCTTGAAAGACGTAGTGGTTTAGTGGTAAGCGAACTGGACTCAGGAGTGACGCTTTTATTCATCTGTTTCTTTCTTGTATATCTGATTTAGGATGCTATGAGCCCGCTAGACGTCAGCGGTAAGGGTCACGTGGACAGAGCCGTGGCTGTACGGATATTCAGTAGAGTGAGGCCGCCAGGTTTGTGAACAAAACTTCTCGATTCTAGAATTAGTATCAGTGATTGAGGATACCGTTTAGTGCAGATTTCAGGGCATTATATTCATTATTCTTAGGCATGACCATGAAGAAAAAATGTGTGTTCATTTCTTTCTACAGTTGGAGGAATTGGAGTGAAGGAGCATTTTGAAGTGAACGTATGTCCGCTGGCCGTTCGCTTGACGCACCGCTTGTTCAAGAAAGTCATGGTGTTTTTCTTTCCCCAGCGAGAGCATGAATATGAGGGTGAAGTGGGAGAAGTAGAGCTTGGATTCAGAGGTTAGTAGTGTGTTCTCACCCCAATACTTTTACGTGTCCTTCTTCAATGTAGGCAAAGCCCTTCTCATAAAATCAGTTCATTTTAGGAAGGTGTATATAAATAATGAAACAATTGTGTCTTAATTTTGCCAGGGATGGAATTTGAGGAAAAGGAGATGTTCATTTACGAAGATGAGGTAAAATAGGCGGAACATTTTTCAGGCCATGGCAGTTTGACTCCAACACATTCTTAAATTGTAGAGAATACGATTCAACTAGCTACCACAGCCCTTCTTTACAAAACCTTTTTTCATCTTCGTCTAAACGCATGCTAACAGATATAAAATGTAAACATTTGATTACTGAGAAGAACACTTTTTGGTTGAGTGTCGAACATGATCCCTGGTTGTTTTGGGTTCGCTTTACTTCCGTCCTTGATTGGTCAAGAAAACTTGCGCCATCCTTTCAACCAATCAAATGCCGGTTGGAAACCAGTCGCCGTTTCTTTACTTTCGTTTTCCCGCGCCGTGGGGGGCATACTTGAACGTATTTGCATGGAGTTCTCAGTCGCTCCCCGCACGCCCCAAGTGCACAACGCTTTGCCCCGGCCAGGACTAGAACCCGGGTCGTCCGACTCGGAGCCCAGTGCACTGACCAATGGACTCCTGGACAAAGCCGTGGCTTTGGCGTGCCCGCGGTACAGTTGACCACGCATGTTAAAAGTAGCACCTTGTACGGTTGTACGGTCGAAAGTCCAAATTTTCTCGGCTTGATGGGTTACTACTACCATTTTGTATAATTATGGGGCTACGCTCTGCGAGCTCCGTTAGAAACGCACTCTGTCCTTTTATATTTTATCAGGATTTCTTAGGTCCTCCTACAGGTGGTAAAACGACATCTTTGAAGCGATCTCCGAGTTCTCTGTCTGCAGTATCAGGAAGTTCCATAGAATCCTTCAGACATAAGAAAAGTAACACAACACTGACAGACTATCCTCCTACGTCGCCATCAAACAAGGATAAAGGGGTAAGAGAATCAAATTTGGCGAATGTGTAAACACCAAATTTCCTTTTTTCAACGAGATGTATAGCAGTCACGAGTGCGATTTACGAACTAGATCTCTGGGGTTGAATTTTTGATAACTCAAGCGCGAATGAACCATTCCTATAGTCGGCATTTGAAGTTTACAATAAATGTTTGTGGCATAACTTAGATAAATACAACACAAAAGAGCAAAACACAAGGGAGGGGACGGGTAACATTAGTTGTGCGCAGCCGGTTTTTGGTCTTATCACGCAAAATGCTTTTTTTATTATCATTCGTATCCATTTGAACCACAGACAAAGAAGAAAAGTACGTTTTACAAACGAATCAGCGATTACGATGACCTTGACAAAATGAAGGTAAGCTGTGTACTGATTGTGTTACGTGATCTCCACAAGTATTTAACAATATAAGAAAGTTTTCTTTCTTGTTGGTGAAGGTGGAGGGGGGGGGGGGGTGGGGTGGTTGATTGGATGATGCGCTGCGCCCAAATTTGCAAAATTTCCCCGGGGTACTTTGGACAGTATCGTACGATTTTGGACACCAGAGTCTGATTTTTTACAGTTGTGTCCGATTTTGGACACTAGTGCTTGATTTTGGACACTAGTGTTTGATTGTGGAGGTTAATGTCTGATTTACGACACTACACTAATGTCTGATTTGGACACTAGTGTGATAATAGTTTGCGGATAGTGAAGCACGACGCACTGATGGGGAATTACTTTAACTACTTTAAGTTTTTATATGCAGCTGAAATGAAGTGTTTTGTTTTGTGTTTACTTTAAAAATTAATCACCTAATGGAAATACATTTGCTTTTTCCAGGAGAGGGCCTCTAAGAATAACTCTTTTATTTATGTAAAGATCCCTGAAGTGTCCTTACTTGTCAGCTACAAGGTTTGTTATTAACTTATGTTCGTGAATTTTCAATTATTCCCCTGAAGCAATATTCAGATAAAAGATCAACAATACTTTTCAAGTTTCGTTGGTGTTAAGTGAATGTTGTCGTAATGTAAGGTTGATTAACAATCGTCTGTTGGGGGTAAAAAGACGATTTAAAACTTTCCACAAGTCGATCCATGTTCGCTTTCTCCACCCTTTCCCACCATTTTTTTAGCCATGTTAGCCTCCCCTCTTCTAAGGTAAGTATATTCTTTCTTCTAATCAGCATTATGTCGCTTATTTCTTTAGGGCGAAAAAGACAGGAACATTATGGATGTTCATGACTTCAGCCTGCTCATTCCCACCTTAGAGTATCACAATCGTACATGGACGTGGCATGATCTGTTGATGGCCATGAAGAAAGACTGTGTCAATGTGCTTGTATCACAAGTAAGTTCTTCACAATAGACCTTTCCTTTACCCTTAGACGACCAGTTTGCATTTATTCATTTTTATTATGTATTTCTCGGTCGGAAGACAAGTTGAGACTTGGAGATATTGTATCATAACTTTCAGGTCTCCTTCTTTAAGTACTTGGTTTTTCTGTTTGTTTACCGGTTAAAACTTGATTGTTATTTTTTTTGTAGGCTATAAAGGAAAAGCTTCATCTTGTAGGAGGACATGGCACAGAAACCAAGGAGTCCAAATCACAAGCCAAGTGAGTTTCTTTTTCGCAGCTGTTACTAAGAATATAAAGAAGCGCAACACCTCTCGTTAGTTTTTAATTTTGATTGTCACGTAACGCAACTTCACTGTGGCGGCAGTGATGGGTGACAGCTGCGAGGTAGGCTGGTGAATTATGAATTGGAGATAAAGAAGAGGAGTTGTACCAGGTTGTGACCACTTACAAGTGTGTGTTTGTAAACAAAACCATAAGATTTGATGTCCGTTGGTCTTATCCACCCTTTTTCATAGTTTCGCCTATCATCAAACTCTTATGCGCATAAGAAGCTAATGGAAACGAAAACTTTCGAACATCGTTTCTCAAATGTTTTGAAAACACTCCTTCTCAAGCGCGAACAGGTGAAAACGGAAGCCCTACAAGACCGTGACGCATACGGCGTCACATATATTTGCTTATGTAAACATTTCGGACAGGGAAAAAAATGATCGAAATTTAAACGAAAATGTTTAGTCTGGTGTAGCTGTGAGGGCATGGGACTCGTTAAAAATGCAATTGTGTAATCGGGGCTCAAGTGATCTACTCTTGTTTTTTTTTTTCCTTTCTCTCAGGGAAGAAGATAAAGCACGAATGCTTTTAGGAGGCTTTGTAAGTTGATAAGATGTTTCGGGGTTTATTCTAGAAATTTGTCAAAGAAGACCCAGTTGGCCCCCTTATATAATTTTAGGGAGAGCCCTTCGCTTAAAAAGGGCGCCCAAAATATTTAAATGTGGTGCCCCTGGAGGTATTGACATAAATTTATGCTGCAATTTCCTTCTCTTAGCTAAGATCTAGGATAAATTTTGTGTTATAAGGCTTAACTTAAAGATCAATGTGATTTCTTTTCTCTCTGTTTTATCCGTTGGGCGCGACCTTCCGGTTATGTTCTTTTTCCTTTTATTTCAGCAACAGAAAGATCAGCATAAGAAGTCAAAGAAAAAGTTGTTTGGCAAATTGGCGAAGGTCGCTCGAGGCTCGAAACGAAAAGGTTCGTGTGACGGACTTGTCACCAACAAGACAACGATATTTCACCAAGAGAATATTAACAGTTTATATTTCTTGATTTTACTTACTGTCTTAAAGAATTTTTTATGGTCCTCTTCAATATCAAATTACTTTTCTTTGCATACGATATAAAGCTGGGTCTTAATTATATACCAAACAAGCCTTTTGTAAGTTTATGGCGAACCGATTTTTAATCGAGTCTTGGAACTAATCGAGATCTGATTGGTTTTGTTTAAGTACGCTCTGTAAATGCTCAAAAACTTTTGCGCCATTCTCTCAGCCAATCAGGTGTAGAATAAAAAAAATAATTGAGACTTGCACCGTGAACATGTGTTTACTCTGAGTTCTCATTGGTTCCTTGTTAATGTAAAACCTTGTTCTGATTGGCTATGGAGAATACTTTGATTTTAGTTAAACGATACTCCGTTGAAATGCGACGTCTAACAAAATAACCGGGAACCGTATCTAGTCTTACTACAAATCCGTATAAACATGTAAACTTCAAGCCTTACCTTGTTATAGTCTAAGATAGATCACTTGATATGTCAAGTCTCACTATCACTGAACAACCGTACTAAACACAACTTTATTCTCCCCAGGTCTCTTGCAGCCTGACGGAGCAGGCCCTGAGCCTGTTGACCTACAAGAAGATCAAGATTTTGAGGAATTCGGTACCTTTGAGATCGATGATCAACCACGGACAGAAGATGATGATGAAGATAAAGATGATACCGGTTAAATTAGCTGATGTTGTTACAACTTCTGTGCTTAAATTACAACTTCTGTGCAAAATGAGGGGAAATCAAGAATAGATTAGATGGAGAATTCCCATAATAAATCAACAATCAGCCTTGCGAATTTTATTTTTATGAATGGGATAAAAATATGAATGTATAAGTCACTCTTTGTCCTAGAACAAAAATTTCCAACCTACATTATTTGAAACACATACCGTTCTTGAGGATTACGTATTAGGTGGTTTTCAACTTGCTTTCTCTAACGTAGATTTTAAGGTGCAACTTAAAAGAGGATGGGGAATTGACACTTAGTTGAATTTTGAACGGTTCGATTTTTTTGACAGAACAACTTACGTGACCAGTGAAAGATGAATATTGTGATACCATTGGTTACGTAGAGAAATTATTTAAAATTACGTTTTCAAAATGAGATGTACAATTATAGTAATTAAGTGCGAGCTGGAGGTATTATTTAACCTTAGAGGCTTAGCTGTGAATTTTGTTTAGGATTATTTGCAATCAAATGTAAAGACGAGTTCATAAATATTGTGGATACCCTAGGATTTGAATTAAGGGATCCCAATTTTCCAAATATTATTAAATCGAATCAGGTCGTTAAGATTCAATAGTGTTTAATATCTCTGTATGCTGCCCTCTTCTTGCGTTAAACGTTACCCAGTGCGTAACTTCCCTTTATTGCGTTCCCTAATGCTACCACTTCGTATGAGTGCATGTAAATCCTCAGTCGCGATGAATTTTGAACTGAAAGTGATTTTTGATTCAGGGTGAACATCTATAGTTCAGTAGCGACAACGTCTTAGAGGTGTGGCAGAGAACACAACTTGAACCCTGAATGTATTATTCCTTTAAACTCGTATCTTTTTCACGTCGCTGAGCCTCCTTTGGCTACAGATGATAAATGTTTATTGTTATTATTTACAAATATATTCTATTCGTCAATCAAGAATTTTACACACCTGATAACATGTTGAACTTTACGGTGTAAAATTGGTCATCCTAAAAAGAAACAGCAAACCTAGGTAGACAGAGTTTTTCCTTACTAATTGAGTCAATTGCAAACAATTGAAAAAGAGATTCTTGTCGTCCTATAGGATAGCTCCTATGCTTCTAGGCTTGATTTTTGCTGTGCGTAGGACACCTAACATATGAATTTAAAATTCGACCTAGGTTACTGACAAGTTCCCCGCAGCTCAGTGGGTAGAGCATCTGACCGCACCATGTTGCGGTCCGTGGTCAGGGTTCAAACCCTGGCGCGGGGAATCTTGTCGTTTTTGTTTCTTTAGTAAGTTTCTCGTAATACTGTTTTCCTTTTCCTTTTTTCGTGATAAGTCTTCGATGTCTAAATACGCGTTTGAAATGAGTGAGAGTTACTATTCTAAGACGAGGCATTAGTTCCATTGTTTTATTTTTTTTTTCAATAAGTGTATGCATAATGTAGTATGGAGTTATACGGAATTTTTTTCAAAATTAGTTCAAACAAATTGAGTCTCGCAGCGCTTACTAGCGATTTTATCTAATGCCTCTTTTCATTCCAGAGTTTTTTCCTCGTTACAAAATAGTCCCTACAGTCCAGTTACTGCTGGTTTTTTTCTCTTCTCACGTGCCAATTATTCTCATAAGATGTGTCTCATTCCTCTTGATTCCTAGTTGGCTCAAAAACGTGCAAACTAAACTCTGCACCGAATCAGTGACGTATCAGTCAATTATTGGCTGCAGCTACTAATCCATATTCATCAGTAATATTGTAGAAGTTTCAACAAACCACGCTGTCTGTCAAAGAGTGAACAGGTGCCTTTCGAGCACTGAAAATGAAGTTGCACTCCGGAAAGAAGACGTTGGATCATTTCAGAAGAGTAACGTGAGCTCTCTGATGTTATTAACAACACGAAGTGAGTGCAAAATATTGTTTCCGATTCCTTATAGAGCTAAACTTACCTTATGATTTCGGTTGAACGACCAAATGCGAGTCAATTGCTTTGTCCCGGAGTGTCTCACCAACTCGAAGCTGAGTTTGATTGAATTAGGGTGTTGACTTCGATAAAAACCAGAGCACATGATTGTAAAATATTTGAAGGGAAATTCATAGCTATCTTTCGTCGAAACAATGAAATGAAGATTTCAAAGAGGATTTTTTTGCAGTTGAATATGGCCACGAGATATGTCACGACTCTTCTACAAATAACTTGGTGACCTTTGCCCCATTTAACATTACTTTTCGAAATATTTTCGCGTTTTCCCTTTCTTCTATATTAGTGCTTTTGTGGCAACGAATTAGAAATTAAATTTGAAGGTCCTAAAATTGTCCGCGTTCGTTCTGAGACAGTAAGCATTCCCGGATTAAATTAATCATTTCTATTTTCAGGAAAAGCAAAGTTGTCAGAAGAATGGAAGAACAAAGATTCTGGTCAAGAGGAGACGCTGGAATGACTGAATTATTGGGGGTTACTGCAAAGATAAGAAGTTTGAGACTATCGAGTAAAAGTAGCAAAATGGTGGCACTTATATGTAGAATTATTGCACGAAGACCTCATTCTTCAACGAAGAGTATTGGAATGGATAAATCTGGTTACCTGGTCAGTGAATGGTTTTCAATTTGCCATCATTTTTGGAATAGTTCGTCATGATGCGGATTGTTATGCAAACCTTGAGCTATCGCATAATTTCATTTGAACTACAAGCTGTAATTTAGTGCAATTTATCTCAGATGATCTCATTCCATCGAAATAAGCAAAGCAATAACTAGAAATTGATTTAAACCTGGTGACAGAAAGCTGAAACTGGAAATCTTTGATTTCGAAGCTTTACTGGCCTTCTTGGTTTGCATAACAGTTTTTATCACCATTACACCCCAGTTGACGCTGCACAAAGTTGATATTTGTTAAGGTGGCACTCGAACAAAAGACCTCCGAAAAAGACCAAATGAAATCTAAAATTTAAATGTACACTGTTTTATTTATTTCAAAAATAGCACTTCTGACAAATGCCGACTTTCAAACCACACTATTGTTCAGGCTACATGTCACTATTTTCAGCGACTGACTTTGAAAAGCTTGTTAACAAACTAAGAAAAAACTGCTGCTACCAGCAACTTACAAACGACTTAAGAGTCAACGGTATAACCAGCAGACTGAACAGAACAAACTAAGTTCACAACCGATAAAATGACAAAACGCCAGTTTAGCCATTTACCTTCTCACTTAAAAAATGAGCAAACACTTTTGCTAGCCAAAAGATGACAAATTCCGCTCAGGCCAATCAACTAATTTGGACAACAGGCTCAACACTCGTGCAGACGATTGCACTACAGGGAGCTACCAAGAGAAAACGATGAGGAAAAACACTGATTTGCCTGAAAATTCATCCTCAGCATGAAATGATATAAGCTGGAAATTTTAATATTTTCGTTGAAAAAAAGAAACATCAGTTCGCCATACATAAAAGGAAAAACCATTGCAGTGCCATCTGAGAACTTGTATCTACTACTTTGTGCAATCAACTGTGGTTAGTTTTAGTGAAAATGTTACTTTTAAAACTTTAATGCCTGGTCAAGAGCCTTTTCTGAAGACTGCTGAGATCGAAATCTACCGTTAAAGAAACCAGTAAAAATTGACGAATGAGTATAGGTTACCATATTTCGGGTAGCTTTTATTCGATAGAGTAGAAAATCATTTCCTAAATCGTTGAAATCTATTTTACACTTTAAACGAAAGTCCATGCAAACATTTGAACCAACCTTTTGGCTTAAAAAAGATTATTAAACTATTGGCAATAAATCTTTAGTTGTTGTGAAGGAGCATAATTGTCCCATGGTATTCCCCGAAGAACAAGAACATTTAAGAAACCATTCTGAATTGTTCTCTACAATTTGAAATTTTGGCAAGGCACGTCTATCTTAACGATAAACGTGAGAATCAAAAATGCAAATAAAAAAAAAATTTTCATTGAATAGTTGCCAAACCAAATGTAAGATTATGTAAGATTTTCCTGTTGAATGTTCTCACATATTGCTATTGATGACGAATTACATACAAAAAGGTTTTACGAACAAATAACCTATATTCTTTTGGTAATATTACTGAACTGAAATCACGTTGATTTTACCAACAAAGTGAGAACCAAAATTTCAACGAACTATATCCAAATTAAAGGTGAGTTTTATTGTGCCCTCAAGTTGAAAAGCGAGCGACTTGACGGTTTGCTGGTTTATATACAGTTGTTTCTTCAATGCGAACTTTTTAGTCAATCCAGTTAGCCTTGTATATTAAGTCGCACACGCGTTGCTCTTCATACCAGGCATTTAGTTTTAAAATAATCGACTCATTTATTCCTTATTCTAAGTGGACGGAGGATCTTATGCGCAGTAATTCGATGTAACACAGGAATACAGAAACAAAAAATCTTGCCAAAAATTTTTAATTTATTTTAAATTCAGTTTTTACGAGATAATATACACTCTTGGTTCATAATTACAATAACACAAAAGTTTGTTGCACGAATTAATCGAATTCAACACAGTGCCTAATTGTTATTTGTCTTAGCTTTTGTGGCTAGAACAACAGTTGATATTATTTTATTTTTGTTACTTCGCGAATTTAGTTCAAGAAACTTGGAGCCTAACTGTAAGTTATCTTAGCCTTCACGGCCAAAATTAAATTTAAAGAGTTTGCTCCAACACTTGAAGTTATGTTTTATCTAAAATGGCTTAGTCAGTTTAGTCTTATAAACCGGCAGCCTAATTATGGTATGAGTTCTTGTTGCTAAATTCAAATTCGAAGAGTGTGCTCCGACTGTTGAAGCAATTTTATTTTTGAAATCGCTTCGTCAATTTAAGTTCAAGGCTCTGTGAGCCGAAATTTCTTTTTTCCTTCAATTTTCTTAAATAACTAGGTGCTTTTTCAACCTGTACCTGTGTTACGATCGAAAACTGATGGATTTAAAGATCTGCAACAAAAAGCAAATTGATCACTGTTTTTCTAGCTGGCCATGACGCTTTTTCGTATACAACTTCCATACATCTCGTGCTAAGAATTGAAGTTCAAAAATCAGTTAAGGGATAAAAATATTCTACTCATAATTTATTTTAAAGAAACGAAGTCGAATTTTTCAAACTGGTTAATTTTTTTTTCCTGAGAGAGGATAAATTGGCGTTTACTTCAGTTCTTTTTACACGAGATGTTGTTTAATTTTATTTTGGCGGGAAATTTATGAGGAAGCCTTACTAAAATTTTTGCCCAAAATGTTGCTAGGGGAAACTCTGTGCAAATTGGTCCAAATTTTCCCGCCAAGAGTCTTAGTATACACACGAAAAATTTTTCTCGACACCTCTTTAAAGATTTAATTGGAAATTACTTAATCAATTAACTTGTGATCATAGAGAATTCAAAACCAATAAAATACTTTGTTAAATATGGAACTTTTGTGGTTTATTGAGTGAACATTGAAAGACAATTAAACTGAGTGATCACTTTATTTTATTGATTTGTTACTAATAACAAGAGGACAAGAGCCTTTTGTTAACAACACATAAAATAAGGGCGCCGTATTATTTCTAAGTTTTTTGGCGGGAAAATTTTAAACTTCTAAATGGCCCATGCCATGAATAATAAGCCGACAAAAAAAATTTAAGTCCTATAAAATTGCGAATTTACATTTGCTTACGTTTGCTTTTAAGTCGTCGATTTACAGCGAATGACTCTTTGCTCTCCCTCACAGTATTCTTGATAGAAATGCAATACATCTGTTTCATCCGTCTGAAGAGATTTTGTTTTTCACTTGGATCACAACCTTTCTTGTTTGATTCGTGCATCAATCAGTCTGTAAGAAGATGAAAAGAACGATAAATCAACAACTGCAAAAGATCTTAAACCGTGATCATTGAGAGTGGTTCGCTAACAGTAACACTAATGTTAAAACTATTTCACGATGTAAAATAATTGTGAATTGGTATTTACATCCTACAGTGTCGAGTCGCTCTTTAAGGGGACTTGAACGTAAAGAGAGATTCACCGGAAATAAAACACTAAAGAAAACAATAATTTCCTTGTTTGCAGTTTTCCTTCCATTTGACTTTGACAAGTTTTGTTGTAAACATTCTTTAAATCCAAGTTGATACGTTCAATACAGACCAGCAGATCAGACTCAAACGCGCAGTTGGCCGATTCGTAAAAAATAAACAAATAAACAGACAAACGAGAAAGCAACTCGCCTCTACGAAAGTTTTATGTGTTCCTTTCTTCCCTTGAAATTCCTTGATTTCGTGATAACCTCATCCTATGGCTGACGCTGTCCTGATGAGGAAAAACGAGGAAATTTATATCGTAAAATCAATCATACTTAAATCATGGTAGGTACTTTCTATTGTGACTGATGAACATCATACCAGGGAAATTAAGCAAGGCAAAGTGTATTTCTATGATACCACTGTCAACTGACAGTGAGGTAGCATTGGATCCCAGTGATATCAACAATATATCTTGACTGAATGCAGATAGTTTTCTACAAAAACTTGATAATTCAGTCAGTTACGTTCAACATTTTTACATGGGCTACTAGTCCATTGCATGCAAGCACCCTCCCACCCCCCCCCCCCCCCCCACCCCCAAGTCCTTTGTTAGGTTTCTCTGACAGGGCACTGGTAACAGTTTCTACTCCAGGGAGGAGAGAGTCACTGTCAAAGTCAAGTGTCGGCACCAACAGCACAAGATCTGATATCCAGAGAACGGATTCTAAGTTAACGATTTTAGACGACTGGACTCTCTTTTCTCGAGCGGAGATTGGAAGCGTGAGAAATGACAGGCGTGTTGAACGAATTTAACGTTAGAGTATTAAGATAAAAGAAACTGTTTAAAGGATAGTAATAATTAAAGAATTAAAACTTAATGAGTCATTTAGCGATCGGTGCATTATCAATAAAGTACACGTTTCTCGCTGCTTCCCTAAAAATCACGTGGCTCGTCAAGATCTGTCATGGCGGTTACTGCTGAAGATTAATCTTACACTGGACTGTGCGTAACATGCTCTTCCTTCATACAATTAACTCTAACAATTAATTTTACTGGAGAAACAACGAGAAAAACGAACACTGCATTTATTTTCAAAATGTATATATGTATAGGATATTCACCTTAAGAAAAGTCGTGACGAAATGAAAATGACTTCATTCATCCTTCTTCGTCCTCAAATTCAAACCACTCGCCTCAACAACCTTGGGGAAAAACTCTCATCCCCTGAGAGAACGGACCATATCCAAGGTATTTATGTTGATCTATATAATGTGTTTCCTGGCCCCAGAGAAGCTGAAAAAGACGCTGACATTTCTTACAGCTCGTAAATGCTTTCCACGAGCAAGACTGATATCAAATATTAATATTAATGTTTCAAAATTAATTGTAATTCAAATCAGTTGTTCGGCCAAAAACCATCGGAAAGCTTTCGTTAAGTTTCGTTAAAATTCTTAAACGATATAGGGTGACTGGTTGTAGATTGATTTTAAACTCGGTACAGTTCAACAGAGAGTTGAACACATCTAGCTACGTAATTGAACAAATACTCCATCAAACTCAGATGAATTTCATTTTTAGAAAACATTTCCATGGAAGAGTATTTTTCAATCATTTAGAACCTGCTTACATGAACTGCCCGTAATGCATTTCGTTTTCCTCAAAATTTCGAATTAGAGATATTATACGGCACTACTTCAATACAAAGGAACACTAAGCTGCAACTTTCCCATCGAAAAAAAAAAGATATAAAGGCACGAAGACATTTCATAATGATGATAACTATCTACTGTAAGATGATCAAAATAATAATAATAATAATAATAATAATAATAATAGAGTAGATCAGGAAACAAAATTGGAAAAAACTCTGGGATTTGGATGGAAATTAGCCACTACAATGGATTATTGATTTTTATACCTCGTTACAAGCCTGCACATAGCTACCCTTCCCCTTCCCCCAACATACACCCAAACCCAGATCACATTCACATTGCACATTGATAAGATATCTATACTTTGTGCTCCTAAAAATTTTTCTTGTTTTCTTTTTTTTCACCGTTTTTTGGTAAAACAATCCTATATTAAGGACATACAGTCTAAGTTAACAGTCTCAAAAAAGTCTTCATTGACCCATTTCCCACAAAAATTAATTGAGTTTCATTGACATCTGTATATTTAGAAGAAAGTGTGCCATACCTACTGATATCTCTTAAAGTCCTTCTTAAGTTAACTTCTTTTTTATTACAAACATCCAGTCAGTTGGAATAAACTTTGAAATTTTACCTTTTGTGTTCATGACTTGAGCACTTTAATTTTTCCATCACCTCGCCACTCTCATCCAAGATCTAGGATTCCCAGCTGTCCATGAGGACTTCTCCACAGGCCACCCCAACGCTTGCCCACAAGCAACTCAACCAGGCTTGTCCACAGGTCACCCAAAGGCTTGTCAACAGGCCACAGACTAAGGCTTGTCCACAGAACACCCAAGGCTTGCCCACAGGCCTCACACTAAGGCTTGTCCACATATCAATTTCCAAAACTTGTACACAGGGTTCATACCAAGGTTTGTCAAAGATTACCTTTAGTTAGCGGGCCACAATCAAATTTTTTTTTTAATTTCCAGATGTTTGAAAGCAAAAGTAATAGCTAATTGTGCAATATGATCTTCCAGAGAAGATTTTTAAGGACTACCTTACTGTTTGCTTCTTTTCTGCTGCTTGAAAGTAAATGGAACTTGGCTTATCACCTCCATAATCAGCATGTGGTATTTACTGATGGTCAATAGTCAGTTTAGAATAACACTACCTTAAAAAAAACCTGCTGAAACATACAAAGACAATAAACAAATTACCAAAACAGACAAAAGATATAAATAGAGAGATCAGATAATAATAAAAAAAAGTAAAAAAAACAACAACAAATTTTGAAATTCCACCGGATGAATTACTCAGCATTGAGGAGTTAGCTACCCACACATGCTAAATTTCTTTGCACTCCCCCCCCTCCAATCCACTCCATCATCTTCAGCATTTGTAGCAGGTGTGACCAGATGATTTGCTGTAGTCCTGGGTTTCTCCTCTTAACCAAACAATTATTTATATCATTTCTTTTATTTCCATTTTACCATGAACTGACACAAATTCTAGTGAAGATCTCTTAAACCATGATGGAATGTTTATGGTCTTCTGTAGAGTTCAGTTTACTCTTTTGGTGATCTGTTTTGCCACTTGGCCTTGTGTTCTTTGCAAATTAATTATAGAGTACCACTGTACTTAACATTCCTCAGGGCTCTTTAAAAACTCTCCTTTCAGGGTATAAATTTAATAAAGAAGCAGGTGCAGTTCATTCATCTTGTTGGAGAATTTTATATTCTTGTCCAAAATACTGACAAAATAAGTATTCCAGTTTCTTCACATAAAATCATCTTCATCTGATTCATCATCCTGGAAATAAGAAAAGAAATGAAAAAGAATGTGACCTCTGCTCAGGTGAAACATTAGTATTGGATTGTCCATCCTAACATCACATAATTTCATCAGTGATTATTACACTCCGATTAAAAAATGTGAGGTTTTCCTTCATAATTGGAGCTCACCACTTAAGTGAAATAACACTTTTTTTCTTAAAAAGTATAGTAAACAATCATGTTTTCTTGTTGCACTTTCTTAAAAATGAACTTCGACTTTCCAACATATACAAGTATGCTGTGCAGTGTATTTAAAAACCACCTCAGGTTAAATAATTGCTAACTTATTTTATTTACACATTCCTTTGCCCATAGGATAAAAGAATTGAAAAGGACTTTTAAAAAATAGTTTTACTGGAGATTCCTCACTTAAGCCCCAATTATAATAGCTTCTGATACCTGATAAATTTCATAGAAGTGTGACTGTGTGAAAAGCAGTGTTGTTCAACATGGTATTTCCATAGAAATAGTAGAGATGGTAAGTTTTGAGCTTGGAGAAGAATTAAGGAAGATGTTTTTTCGTCTTGTTACAAGCATGGGACAAAGAAAAAATTCTGAGTCCCTGTGAGGAATTGAACCTCAGACCTTCGGATCTGCACTCCAGTTTACCTCAATCTGTGAAGAGGTGTATTAAATCAAACAATGTAAAATTACCAACTGACCTTATTGGATTTCATTTTTCTTGAGTCCATTAAAGAGTCATAGCTCCTACAAAATATCAAGTTTACAGCCATTGAAAATTTCACGTGCAGTATACAAATGAATATACAGTCAATTGAGAGAGACTTGATCATGTTTAAAAGTGTATAGAAGAGTAACAAACATGTATGGTACATGTGAGATCAATATAAAAAACTGAGAGCCTGCTGAAGATGCTTATCCATGTTTCCAGAAAAATTCTGTAATCAAACCAAGTGGCCCATACAGCCAATGCTTGTCCTGGTTTCCATTACATGAAGTGACTAGGATTATTACTCTGATACTACCTTCCCCCGGATGAGATGCCACTTCATTGGAAGGTTACCCCTAGTATTTCATCCCTAAAAATTTGCTGATACCCATTTAGACTCCTGGGTGGAGAGCAACACTGTGAAAGTTAAGTTTTTTGCCAAAGAACACAACATAATGTCCCACCCTGCACCTCCTCATTAAGCCACAAGGTTTCCCACTCCCTGTTTCCAAAAGCATAACTCAATCTAGTACTGTCACTTGTCCAGGAGGAGATCTAAGTCTGTAACAGGTTACTTACCACCTCCCTGATACATGTAGTTTTGATGGTAACTATTTAAACTCCTGCTTGGAAAGAGTGGAGTCTTAATCACCAACAAAACACAATGACTGGCAGTCCATAACTCCATCCAGACCTGTAGTCAATTATGTAAGAAGCTTCAAATCTTGGCCATAGTGGTTAACGGAAAAAATTACCTCAATGCAGCTTCTTCTTTTCTTCTTTTCTCTTCTTCTTTTTCCCTCTGTCTCTAATTTGTGAAGATAACAAAATATTATGAGACACCTCTTGTATCTCAAGAATGAACAGAATTGAAAAAAAACTGCAGTGTTCATCAAGATGACAATGCACTGAACATATCAGTTGATCATGAAATAATGTTTTACTTGTTCTCTTAATTTCTGTTTGCCATCTTCTCTTTCCAGTCTATCTCTCTCCTCCCTTTCCTCTCGTAGGTTTGGAAACTTTTCTTCTTTTGTCTTATTCAATCTGTTCACTATTTCATTTACTCTTTTTTCAACTTTGATGATCCGCACCTGGATATAGCAATATGAAAGAAGAGTTAGGTTTAATGTTCGTGTTGTAAGATATTAAAGAATTGTACCTACAGTATATTTACAGTGTAAGATCATGTGTAGTATTTGATAAAAATAATTAAAATGACAGTACTGGAAATGAAGAGTCATCAGGTATTCTGGAAAGTTATAAAATTCAACTTATACTCTCTTATGGAAAGAGGCATTGTGAGGGAAAGTTGAATGAAATGGCCTTGGTTACAACTCAAATACATTCTTCTTGATTTGGAATCTGGTATGCTAACTACTACACCACAACAAAACTTGTGTAGATTAGACAGCATTGAAACTCTTTACAGTGGCCACTTTATATTATCAGCTCAGTTGATGAAACCAAATTATCCTTAATAAAACATACAAATGCTACTTGGGGTCTACTATTGCATTATAAATACCTCTTTATTACTGTGAAAACCCACTTGTCCAACCTCCATGTCGGCTGTCTTTTTCAAGTTACCCCAGAGTGTATACACAACAGCAATATTGTTCATCTTGTTTCCTGCAGAAAAAAACAATTTGATAGAAATTGAAGCACTTCTCAAGAAGGGATCAATGGCTAAAACACAACAAAGAAAATATTTCCACCATAAATGACAATGTTTCAGTGTCTTAATGACTCTCTTTCAAGTTCAAATTAACACTTAATCAATAAAAGTTTCCTAAAGATCATCCAGGTTGGCATGCAAAATCAGGCAAATAGTTTTGCTTAAATTGACAACAATTTCAAATTATAGCAGCATTAAGATCACTCTAAAAGTATATAAGGAATTTCATGTACATTATTCTCTAATACTAGCACTGACAGTTTACTAGTACCAATTCCTAGTCCAAGAGTAAAATGTCCTGCACAAGAACACCACACAATAATGCCAACCTGGGGACAAAGATAATTGCATCCCACATAATGAATAAGTTAGTCCTGTCAAATTAACAGTCATATATGTACCTTGAATACTGTTGGCTTTTACAAGCTGTGCACAGTCGGTTAAAACTGTCATAGGAATGTCATCTAGAGTTTCACCCTAACCAAAAAAGAAAAATATAAGGTTTTCCTTACATTTTTTTAATTGTAAGGATACATTGAGCTTCAAAAATTACAAGGGACAAATAGCTTTCTCAATCAAGAGATCAAAAGCAACCTTGATTTTACCTTTTGTAATCTAAGATATACATGGGCTGATGATAACTTATCAACATGAAACCTGAAAAAGGCAATACATGCATGTAAATCAGTACAGTCATCTTTCATCAAGAAACTCATTGTAAGTAAAGGTTGAATTTCTGTGTCTGTGACCAACAATCTCCCTTAATATGGTTTAAAATGTACATATGCAATTTAAGATTAGCTAGATATTTTTATACTAACCAAACATCCTCTGGAAATCCCCATTTTATCAACTCCTCGTCTGTGCAATGATTAAAACACACTCCATAAATTAAATTACAACTTAGTTAAAATACTATACGTAGATGGGACTTAGCTTTTAAAATACCAGACATGCTTTACATTTGAATTCTCCTTACGAAATCAGAACAACATTTAGAAAACAGGTAATGAGAAAATTAATAGTCATAAGCTCTAGAGGACTATGCTATCTCGTGAGAAACCCTTGCTGGAGGAGTGTAGAGAATTCGAATTTTCTTGAATGAGTTGAGAGAAAATGTAGAGCAGCTATAAGGGAGAATTTCTCTTAGATCTTGGGAGTTTAAACGTTTACCGATTAAAAAGATTCAATCATATGTTAGAGTGTTTGTGGCACACGATCACACTCACTTTCGTGTTTATCTGCGCCCATGTAAATGGTGTACGGCGGTGAGACAACTAAGGAAAGAAAAATTAATTAATTAGGTTTGGCCTTGAGTAGCAAAGAATTTCTATCTTTTCAGTGTTTCACTCACCGTTGCTTTGAAAGTACAAAACCATGGTGAGAGATTTAGTTCGCTTTACAAAAATAGCCAGGCGAATATATTTGCGAATAGACCTCCAAGGACCTGGGTCTAGCTAAACCCAGTCTCCTCTCGGTTGTAGTTGCTATAGAAACATAAAACGCCAGCTGTAAAAATGCTATGGTTACTGTGTAAACTCATTCATTTCTCCTCTTCTCCGCGGAAACAATTTGCAGAAATTTTTGTGTAAAAACCGGATAAATGGCTTTGACGGACCCTAAAATTCCTCCACGCTTTGCAGTGTCGGATTGGCACACATCAAACACAATAATACGAACAAATGCTGAGCGCCAGCGAGATGCTTCGCATCGCGTTCGTCAAGAGAGTCGATTTCTGCGAAACGAGACCGACAATCATACTCGATGGACTCAACATGACAGCAACACAAAACTTGAAAAGAGAATACACGACATCAATAACTGGAAGAAGAGTTTAGAGAGATGCCTGGCCGAAACAGACGCCGAGATTGCTTTATTACAACAAGAAAAAGAACGAACAGAACGGGCACTGGAAGCAAAGAAAGTTCCCCTCGACATCACCCTAGAATGTTTGATGTTGAGAGAAAACAGACAAAACATTGATCTTGTACGAGACGAAGTTGAAGCACAGCTTCATAAGGTAATGACCAAATGATATTTTTTAACCAAATAGTTAGCGAAAGACTTGAAACTCCTAATTTTTCGATCACATTGAATGTTAACTTAGAAGTAAACAATAAAAATTTCAATGATCTTCTAATACTGGTAAAACCTCTCAAAATTTAAAACGTCTCACATCCTTTAGATTTTTATTAAACAGAAAAACTTTGATAACTGAGGAAACATATAGAAAATAGGTTCCCAAGTTTTGCTCATGGTATTTAAAATTCTGATGATGTTACATGTAACTTCTCATCACATACTTCAATATTTAAATTCTAAACATTATTCATTGTTGATAGGATAACTTTTGGCTTTCTTTTTCTTTTCTTCAGGAGGTAGAAGTGATTGAGGGAGCAAAAGCTCTTCTTCAACAGAAAGTCAGTGAAGCTTTTGAACAACTCTGGTAAGTTTTGATGGTTATTTTCTTGTATATATCTATCAACTTGTCTTTGTAATGTCCAGTATCACTCCTGAATCAATGGTACAAAATTGAAACGAAGTTCAAGATTGAAGGTAGAATCATTCAGCTAGGGAGGGGAAGGTCACTCTAGAGTCTCCTTAGCCTGAAGTTGTTTTATTATTATAAATCCTTATCTTGAGAACATCTTGAAAAAGAGAGACAGAGGTCTAGTAAATTTGAAAAAGCCCACAAATAGCTTAATACTTTGGGGATGATAGATGATTTATGATAAATTTTTATTTTTTCCCCATATTTTGTAGTCTCCTCCAAGAAGCTCGTCATCAACTACATCTTGACATCACAGACAAGTACACCACCCTGGAGCTGGATGGTGAATGTTGGAGGCTAAACAACAACTCTGCCAACATTGGCTTTCAAGTGAATCCCACACGCACTGTCAAGGGAAGTGTTACACCTGAGACTTGGGACTCCTTCTCAAACTACAACAAACTGCGAGCAGAGGCTGAGATGAAGGCATCAAAGCACCTCAGAGAAGCAATTTTTGCCACCTTGCAGCAGACAGCTAATGATCTTGAGGCTCAGAGACAGGCCACTGAATATGCATTTCGCAAGAGGATTCATGAAACTAATCAGGCCAAGTCAGAGTTGGAGTGGCAACAGAAAAATGTAATTTTTAAAGTCACTATTAACTAATTAATGCATCTTGTCTGGAAAAAAAATACAGATCTAAGTGTTATGAGTATGTTAATTTTGTGTACAGGTAGTTCCAAATGAAACGGACTAATTAAAAAAAAAACCATACAGTCAATTGAATTTTACTATTTCTGTACTACTTGCCTTAACGTGTAGAACAAACTAAATATCTTAAATATTACTTTTCTTCCTTAGACCCAACAAGAAATTTCCACATTGGAAAATGACATCAAAGGAATCAAGGAGGCAATTGATGCCAAGAATGCACCAATGATGGTAGGTCACTAGTCCCTATTTCTTTCTTTTTTTTTTGTTACTGAATCTTTCTTTAAAATTTCATCACTTTCAGTATCTATGCGACCCTATTAGAGCCCAATGACTCAATGTTGGTAATTCATTTCTTAACAATTTAATCACATCCATTTTCCCCTGGTAATCATGATCATAGTCAAAGGTCATACTTTTTTAAATTCAAAATCCAAGTACTAATGGCAATCTGTTGGTGGCTGCATTTCCAGTTGAAATCCTATTAGAGCCCAATGACTCAATGTTGGTAATTCATTTCTTAACAATTTAATCACATCCATTTTCCCCTGGTAATCATGATCATAGTCAAAGGTCATACTTTTTTAAATTCAAAATCCAAGTACTAATGGCAATCTGTTGGTGGCTGCATTTCCAGTTGAAATTCAAATGTTAAAGTTGGTTTCAGTATGATAAGTTATCTAGTAGGTGCAATGTTTACACTAGATTGATTATAATTATTCTTTGACGATAAGTTGATTTTATTTGTATTTCCAGGTTGCACAAACACGCCTAGAGAACAGAACCTACAGGCCAAATGTTGAGCTGTGTCGTGATCAACCTCAGTACCAGTTATGCCATGAAGTTGCCGAAATTGGTGGATCAATCAGATCACTGAACGAGAAACTCCGAGAAGCAGAGAATGCACTTCAGGCCCTGCGCAGTAACTTGGAAAGGATCAATGAGGATCTAGCTGTCAAGAACAACTCACTTGCTTTAGAGAGCAGAAGCATGGAAGTGCGACAAAAGATGAAGGAAGTTCCCCACAGCATGATGAACACAGGAACAACGTTTCGTACCATTAAAAATTCATCTCACACTCCTGTTGTGGAGAATGCTCCCTTTGATACTGCTATGCAAAGTGCTGGTTCCCCTGTGCCTGTGACATCACCTCGCATGGCTAATACCTACACACCACCAGCAAGTGGAAGGAGGCTGGAAACACAACTAGTTGACTGAACTATATGTGAAGAGTAATTTCTCAGATTAAGCTGTTCAGTGAAACAAATATGGTATGATTTTGTGAAAGTACTTGGTAAAAAGTTAACTCACAGATGAAATTTTAATAAAAGAATGGAATAAACTTTTTGCTTATCAAACAATGAAATGTCAATGGAAGCTACACTTTGTAAAATTTTTATTTTTTTTTTCAAAACAACCTTTTTTCATCAAAGTGTCCTTTTAGACTTACTTAAGAAGTATGACAATACCATTAATAATAAACTTGTTTCTCCTATGACCTTTATTTTAATTATTATTATTATTATTTAATTATTCATGTCTGAGATCATTTTATTGTACATAATTAGTACTGATAATAAAAATCACTTGCTGATAATCAATTTGCCTAATAAAGGTACTCTCTTGAATTGCCTGGTTTTAATCTTATCTTTACCTTTTCCTGGATTTAAAACAAAATATACTTTTTCAAAGAACTTAAATATTACAATAAAACCTTTCCTACAACCTCAGCATCTACATACTGGTTGCTGTATGCAACTAAAATCTGTTCCTCTCACATTTTGTTGACGAAGGAAAATAACAAACAATTAATATTGCTTGCTACCTTTGTCAGCTAACATTTCTGGTTTAAGTTTCCAGATCAACAAAATCTAAGAGATCTCGACTACCCTTATCCTACTAAGACAATTTCTGTACATCAAATATGCAAGGAACACAAGTAAGGATAACAAAGAGGAACCACACAATTCCCTTTATCTTATACATTGAAACTAATTGTCATAACCACTAGTCACTTCTTGCAACAAAAAACATGAGAGGCATATGGTGTAATGAACCACAGAAGCTACTGGTACTTTTGAGGCAACCTTTATAAGAAGGGCTGAAACCAAACCTCTTTGTGTGAGAAGTACTGATATTTTCTGACACAAGATTTCCCTACAAATGGTTCATGAAGCTTCTTTGCAATAATTTTCAATCTCAACCTAATGCCCTGTTCCTAATCTATTATCTTTATGTAACAAAACAAATTTTCTGTAAACAACAGTTCTCTGAACAATGAAATCACTCAGCAGTAGTACGATAGAGGTCAGTGACAACTAAAATACAACCAAGCCATGTCACCTTGTTATTACTGATTGTAAGTTAAGTTAAGACATAAAGTAAACATAGTTCCTTTCATTAAAAGCTTGTTAAAAGTGGTCCTATATACAAATAGCTACTTCTTCATTGTTATAAAATGTAGCACTTTTCAACTTCCTATAAAAATATTCACTGCCTTGTCAAGGTATGTTATTTAATTCTACAATAAATTATCTTTAAACATTTAACAGTTTATAGGACTATTATGTGATCACATTTTCTTGAGGACTGATACTTGCTGACTGTGTTTTCTTTTTCAGGAAACATCTGACAGCTACTTCACCAAATAAAGCCATGAACAGCACAGAAGACACTGCAATACACATAAGGGTTACATTAAACATCTTATTATGTATGAACTTGCTGTGTGATAATTATAAGTTACTCAATATCATTTACTTTCCATTCTATAATTTTTGGTCTTTTAAGTAACTGCAAATTAGCATTAGCTGAATTCTACCATCTTTAATTCTATTTACACAACTGGTGCTTTCAACATTGTTGATCCTGATAGTCTGCTGAACAGTTGTCACATATGAACCTCTTTAACCTCTGTGACCCAGTGGTAAAGTCTGAGGTTTGATTCATCATGGGAACTCATATTGTTTTCTTTGCCTCATACTCATGACAAGATGAAAAAATCTTTCTCTATGAATACTCATGCTTGCAGTTAACACAGTAGTTTTAAAGAGGAAAAGTTTTTCAATCATTAGATTTATCTTGTGGTCAATCAACCTCTTTTGAGAAACCAGCTACCCATCAATAATTTCTTGTAATACATTAATAACTCCACAATTCCCTTTATTTTTGTCACTATCCCTGTACCATGTTAACTGAAAAAGCCTATGAAGTATAAAATGCATCAGTTATTATTTTAAACTTACAAAAGGCAATCCACCATTCCCAATTTGTCGGGAAAGCCTGCATGACTGAAATCAATAATAATCATCTTAACAAAGAAAATGTACATCTAACGGTCCAACTAAATCATGGTTCATTCGATACATTTACAAATGTTACTCGCATATTCAATTTAATTTCCTAAATTTTAGAAATCAAGCCTCTTGAATTGTATGAGATTCTGAATTGCATTTAAGTGTGTTCATGGCTAGAAGTATAATCCATGACCTTTCCCTTCCTGATATGTTATGAGATTTGAATAGTTAATTGAACTTCACAATAGCTTGATATATCTAGTATGCATATCTAGCATACAACACTTTCTTTGAAAGCTTGTATCAATTTCATTACTGACTGTTGGGACAAAAAAAAAATTCAAATCTTTACCATTGTCACTGTTTTGTTGTTGTTGTTTTTTTTAAACCATTATGATATCTAAGTCCAATGGAAAGCACTACCTTTGGATTTTCAAATGTTTAGGACTTCTTTTTTGCTGTTGCATCCAAATTCTTCATGCCCTTCTCAGCTTTGCCTTATGCAAAATTTTAATTTATTTTTCAATCTTAATCAAATGCATGCATTTGTTTTCTATGAAACCACTCTCATCAGTGTCTAAACCCTCTTTATAGAAACAATTCTTACCAGCACAGGACAAAATAAGATGAACAAATCCTATTGTAATGGCATAATCCCAAATTCTCTTTCTCAAGAAGATGATAAAGATTAATGCAGTGAGGGTGTATGTCAGTAACAAAGAGAGCAGAGTTGCTGGAAAGACAAAAGATCAAATGTAAGCTTTAAATGCCTGGGCCCAGTTGTATAAGGGTGGATAATGCTATCAAACGGATAAATCACTATCCAGCAGATAAGTGATTGCAAAACATATAGCATTATCCACCAGATAGAGTTTTATCCAGTGGATAGCCCTATCCAACCTTTGAACAACTGGAGCCTGAAGAACGAAGACACAAGGTAGATTACAATTTATTTTTAACTTGAAGAGGGAAAATTTTGACAAACCTTTCTACAAAATACTGCAGAAAATGAAGGCTAGAAACTGCACTGCCCAGGATATTCATACCATTACACAAATGAAGATAACTTGTTGCGGTGTTTGCTATTCAAAATTTAAAATTGGGAATTTAAAGGAAAAAAATAAACTACTCCACTTACCAACATCTTTGTCATCTTTAATATTGCAACAGTTCTGGAAATCAAAGGGCATCTTGCCATCGAAGTCACTAATTCTGTGGTACAGAGAAATTTTTTCCATACAAATGTGTCGATTGACCCATTAATCGTTTAAACTATTTTCAAGAGGAAGTAAGAAGTGACCTTCACATAGCGACGACACCCGAGGTGAACGTAAACAGTCAAAACTGGACCCTAATTGAACGCCAACGAGAAATCATTTCTGGTACTTCGTAATTTTTTGGAGTCTGGACTAATTCAAAATCTTACAGAAACACCAGTTGTCCAGTCCAAAGGCAACAGCGATAAATAAAGCGAGAGAAATGTGAGGGAAAGTGTTAATTTACAACAGTCACAGCTCTTTACAAACAGTCACTTACTTGAATGCTCCACTTAGCAACGAAGCTACCATGTAATATGCCACAAAAAACAAGGGTACGGCAATGCAGAGATTTAGGCAAATAACCTGAAGAGAAAAAAAAATGTTCAGTTACAGCACTAATTGCTATGAGATGGCGAACAAACGCATGGTTTTATACCCGCGTATCCTCCGCCATGTTTGCGCTCTAGGCCTCACTTGCAGGACAGAATGATCGCAGAGCATTGTGGTAAGAAATTTCAGCATTTTGTTAATTAAAGGGGCGGGGCGGTGTCAACTCTGGAGGAAAACGGCGAGTAAATTAAGAATATTTAACCTAAAAGATCAAAGGGGCTTTTGCTTGTGCAATTCACAAAAGGAGAAAATACGTTTCTATGAAATATTGACTAATTTTATAATGTATAGATACTTAGTTTTTTCGAGGGGGAAAAAGTTAATGTTGACCAGTGCTAAGAGGGTTTGAAAAATTCTTATCAGTCAGGTTGTTCTTTCACTCACACTTGCTGCGTTGTTTATGTCTGTGTAGTTTTGTTTGATAAATAAAACGTCCATTATGAATTGGTTCATGATCTCTTGCGTCTGACATACTTGGAATTTAATATATTCTCTCAGGTGTCAAGCTTGAGAGCGAAACCTTGACGCTGTTGATTTTCAATTCTTACCTATCATAAAAATTTTAGTAATCTACAACCAGCTAATGGAATTTTGGAACTAAATTCTTGGATAAGAAACATTCAGTCTCATCTAAACATGAAAAACTTGTTGCATACCAAGCTTTCAAGCTGAAAATTTAAAATGATTTTGCTGTTGCACAAAACCTTCTCGTTTACTTCGCAAAGTATTACGAAAGCAGCCTGTTTTAGTTTTTATTTTATCTCACTCACAGTGATACTGGTTTAGTTCTGATAATCAACACAAAGAAATCGGCACGAAACTTTTACATTCATGTAAAAGTACGATAAAGCACATTAAAAACAGAGCGGGGGAAAGAAAGCAAAAACAGAAGAAATTTGTAAGGAATGTCACACCAAATGAAACTTGCACTAAAGCGTGCGTAAAAATTTTGCCAATGGTAAAGTGACGTCACTGAGAAGCCTGGTACTCATTCAATAGATTCTACAACCAGCGGCTCACTGAACACAACTCCCGCCGCAACAAAGCGAAGATAAGTAAAGAAGTGGATAAGATCATTCTATCAGCCAATCACAAACATGATAAGCAATGCTGGCTCGCGGTGACGCACTGCCAATTTGGAATTTCGGTTTTGTTAACTTGGCTTCTCTCACGTCTGGTCAGGCATGTAGTGCAGCGTTAATCTCTTTTCAAGTTCCGGTGGAAGCCACGCATTTTTGCCTCCTTCTCTGCGTTGTACAGTTAATATGGATCTTGTCTTGAGCGGGACATAAGTGAGATGCTTGGAGGGGTGGTGATTTTCCAGCTCAGTTTCATTGCCAGCGCTCTGGCTAGTATAGGTCTTCGATTCTCAGAAGAACCGGCCTACGCTATTTTCAAAAGATGGAACGCGAGAAGAACAGGGAACTTGACTTTTCATTTCAAAACGGAAAGCAAAAACGGTTTTCTCATTTACCAAGACGACAAAGGACAATGCCAATATATTTACCTTTCTATGGCAGACGGGCAACTTAGATTGCGCCTTAAAATGGGAAACTGCGAGGAAACACAAACTCTACATATCGGAAACAAACTCAATGATGGACGATGGCATAAAGTGACTGTCCAGCGAGACTCAGCAATGACAAGTCTTACAGTTGACAATTTAAGTAATAACACGATTTATAATGGAGAAGTAAAGAATCTTATTGTTAAAAGTGACTTGATCGTTGGTGGAATCCCGTGGTCTACTCCGTTGAATGATCTCTCTTTTCCTCCTATATTCTACGAAAGCAATCATTACGGGTAAGTACAGAGCATGCTTTCTCTCTCTCTTTCGTAAACAAAGGATGCTTTTACACATTCCTTTAAAATCTATGTAATCAACTATTCTTTGCTGTTATTTTTTATTATGCGCCACACAAGTGAGCTGATCCATTTTGATCATTTGCAGCGTTTTATAAACTGAAGGATGAAGATAGCAGCTTTATAAAGAAAGCTATGAATTAAGGGATGGTTAACGCAAAAAACAGATGCACCAAAACATTCCATAACTGCGAACATACTCAGGGAATCAATTATTATCATTACAACTTTTCTCTACGTATGCTTTTTCGAAGGAAAATTTTCGCAATTTGTTATTCGTTAATATTGTTAATCGCCCCGCCCAAGAATTTCTATCGATTCCTTACGCTCGCGCGAACTAAATTCAATAAACTTGAGTATTTTTCGACTTTAACGCAGAATTTATCATTTTATTCGTTAGAAAAGAATTAATAAGTTTATTCCGCAGAAAAATACCATAAATAATTTAATATTGGATCCGAAATTCAGCTCCTATGATGAATAATACATTGTTTTTCTGCGGAATTTCATTATTGCATAAAATTAACTGACGGGCGCACAGTTGCATTAAAAGAATCTCTCACACTTCATTTGTAATATATTTGTATTTCAGATTCAATGGCTGCATTAGCAGCATAACCTATAGTGTCAACGGAAGGCCTACGAGAGAGGCGTATCTGAAACACGCCAAAGGAACAAAACTAGGATGTTCAGACCCTTGCTCCAAGACTGGAAAATGTAAAAACGGTGCAGTATGTCGTTATACTTCCACTGGGGTACGTTGCGACTGCAAAGGGACAAGATTTGAAGGAACTAACTGCAGCGAAGGTAGGAATGAAAACGGGAATATCACATTTTGAGGATTTTTTTTTTCAGTTTTCGATGTTTTTAATTTAATCCCTTTCGAGTGATACCTTCATTACAAATTGCCCTTCAAAAGTAAAATTTGGTTCAACAGCCTTCGCTTTCCACCTCTGTAAACAGGTCTATATTTGATGATGGCTTTTCAAACATTATTTGTTTTATAGGAAAGTAGCAGAAAACAATGACAATTTCCATGGGCGTCTTGTTCGTAAAATTGAAGTATTTCTTCTAAAATTTATATAAACTAAATTTATTTGTTTTACCTAAAAAAATGTAAAACCGTGAGCAAAAATTACTTCAGATATCTACACTGTCATCATGTACTGATCACCAAATGTACAAAGTAGAAGACGAAATGTAGTCAGTGTGATCTCGTATTTCAGAAAAGTATCGAAAACATTTTACTTCACTCCACGTGTCTTTTTCCCATTACGTAGCATGAAGTTCCTAGTCAAGAAAACATTGTTTGCAACCTCCGCCAAAGACTCTTTGTCAAAAACTCAGTTGTCGACGGTTGTAGAAATCAACGTAGTAATTTTTCATTTGAATATTGTAGTGATTTTACTCCACATTTGTTTATTAGCTGTTATCAGTCTGTGTGGGAGAATTTTTCTTTTGAATAAAAAGAGGCGTTTTCTCAGGCAGATGGTTAACCACAAACCACACGGCTGTCTCATCACCAAATTGATCAAAATCAATTCTCTCCTAAGGCTGAGGTCAATCGTTGCGTAACACACGTTTGAATCTCCCTTCCTCTTAACCGCTCAGTGGTTTTTTCTTTAAGAGGCTATCTTCTATTTATGGCGCCAACGAAACACTTCTTCTTTTTCGTGATTTAAAGGAGACACATTCTTGGCTTTAGCAATAAATAGAAATCGTTGAGAAAATACAATTATGACCTTTAAATTGATTAATATTCTTTTGTTTTACCAGAAACTTCATCTATCCGGCTTAATGGAAGTGGTTACGTTGAATTTAGTGCGAGACAAGAAGCAGAAGATGTTGATCCGAATGAAGACGATTTCGGGTTTCATTTGAAGACCTCCTATGACCATGGTGTAATCTTTACTCTTCTTTCGCATCCTAACTACCTCTTGATCGAAATGGTGGATGGAAAGCTAAAAGTGAAGTTATACCCTGGACAAGAAGGTAACCATGAAATAATAGTGTGGCAAGATTATCATAAAAAAGAATGGGAAAGGTTAAGGATGAAGAAGATTGACACAGATTGTGAACGGCCACCAAACTAAATAACAAGCAAGGTTGCTTATTCTTGTGGTCTCATACAAATGAATTTTCAATTGAAGGTGGAAAGTAAGATGGAAATATGTTCAGTTTCCTTGCTTTGCAGTGTGAGTTGTTTTAATGCATTACTTCCTCAGCCAATCATATCCAAAACAAGAACTTATCTTATCCTGGTTACTCGTCTTTTTCTCGCGCGTCAGACAGTTTGCTTTGCAGTTTTCAACCGGTTCTCGTGACATTTCCTTTGTTCTGATTGGCCAATGTGAAAACGAATGTTTTGATTTTACGACACCCAGTCAAAACGCACATGGGTGAAATATTCTCGTCCATTGCAATGTCATTTAGCTTCAAATTTCTCTCTTCTTCATCTATTCTAGATCCCGTGGTTCTCGTGGATGAGCGTAAAGTAAATGATGGCAAGTGGCACTGGGTCGAGTTCTATCGGCGGCTCGATGTTTTCACGTTTAAGATAGACCATAATAAAATCAGTACTAAAGAGAAGGTGTCGTCCATGCCTTTTAAACCTAAAATTGTCTACGTCGCTGGAGGTCCCAGAAATGTCCTCAAAAAGTCTGAATCAAAACAGAACTATACTGGATACCTACAAGAGTTTTACTTTGGTAAAAAGAAGATATTTGACAGTATTGTACCCACAATAACAGACAGAAGATTTGCTAAAATTGGAACTGTGATCGATGGATCCATAACATCCGAAGAGAGTAGTGGGTCGGGGTGTTTACTAATCGGTGATGACGAAGATGAAGAATGCCCAACAACTGATAATTCCAAAGGGAATGTGTCCAAAGGTGTGTCCATACTCCATACTCCATAGTCCATAGTTCAAATATAAAGTTTAAAAAAGCGTAAGTGAAGGTCAGTCCTGAGAGTGGTGGGGCGGGGGGGCGTTAATGGCGTGACAACCATTTCCCGGGCCAGATTTTTCCCCAATCCCATTTCTATTTCCCAATCTATCAATGTCTACTTATTTTTTAATGACAGTCCAATATCCATTTGTCTTGTTGTTTATGATCCCAGTTCCAGCGACACAACACTATCTTCAAGAGTAAGCTTAATTTTAAGTTTGCGTTTTTAAGTTCACGTGAATACTCAGCTAGAATGAAGCATTTTTTTCCCTTTATCTTATGCAGTTGAACTGAACTCGACAACGATGCAGCCTACCACTGAGCTAGTTCCCGAGTCTGTGCCGACAGGCGTCGCAGTGCAGAAGTCCCTTCCACAAGTAGTGCCATTCTGGGTGATCTCGGCGATAGTGGTTGTAGCAGCCATTGCTATTTCAGTGACATTATTTTTCTTGTATCGCTGGAACTCTCGTTACAGTGGATCATTTAAGCCCGAGTCTTCTTCGTCAAGTTGTATGAACTCACCAAAACATGGCGCTTTCGTCATCAATCCGCGTATTCAGGTCACAGTGCACGATGACAGGATGTAAGAGAGTTCTTAAGCTTTGTCCCTGAGGAAAAAGTCTTACGCTCTGAATGGCAATCACAGAGCAAGGCATAAGATTAGCACAAATGACATAGAAGAAAGATTGTTTGATTTTACAGTCGGCGTTGTATTGAAAAAGCTCTTTAATCAAGAGGAATACGTGTGAGAGATAAAGCGGAGACGGCGATCCTTTAGCCCGTGGAGAGTAAATTAATTAAGCGAGTTGCTGTGCAGCTTTACGGTACTTTTTATTAGAATACGGCAAAATAAACTAACCAAGTAAGTGGACTAGACTAGGCTACGTGGTATGTGGATCAACGCCATTGAGGTTTGCTATGACAAGCGTTAGGCGACCACTTACGACGTTTCAAAGAATGTCCTAGTCAGATTTACATCGTTGAGAACCAGTAGACATTACACTGGAAACGCTAAATATCAAAGATTTCTCCTAGTTTCCGCTTAAAACTTGAATAAGAGTATGACTGGTTATTGCGTCGAGGAAAGACGCCATTGGCTGACGTTTATTCCGTTGGCTACGTTGTTGGTAGGTTAAGTGATGTTTACGGCTAACTTGCGTGTAGTGTCTATAAAAGTACAAGGTAGAACGTGTTACAATTTTCCAAATTGGAGAAGCATGACCTCTACAGATTTGCATTTATTTGTATAAAAGTTTCATAAAATGATTGGTAAAATGAACTGAGTTTCAATCTCAAAGCTAGAAATCTATTGTTCTTTAATTTCGATGTGGTGCAATCAATTTATTTTTGCTATGAGAAACAGCTTGCTGTAAGCTCGCTTTTATAATTAAGCTGAAGAATGTTATCAGGTTGTAAATTGAATTCATGACGAGATTTTGAGAACTTTGACAATTTATCAGGTATTAAATTTTACAGTGTACAAACATGAAATGGTAACAAGTTAATTATCGAATGAGCTTCCAAGCACCACCAATCAATCCCGTTTTCAATAAGTCCACCATTATGATGCTAAGAGAACGAGAAGTCCGTTTTGCAGCTTTCGTTTTAAATCTCCATCACTGCAAGTTTTTTTGTGAACTAGTGCTAAAACCTGGTGATGCGTTAGCCGCTGCTAATAAACATGACACATCCCGCATAAGACTTTCTCTGCTAATGCGCTCAAGCTTTGTTCTGATTGGACAAACTGAAAACTCCGATGACGTGGTGATTTGATGCTCATAGACTTGATTATAGGTAGAAACTTGAGAAAATATTAAAAAAGGACAGCGCACATGTTAGTGGACGTTATAATAGGCAATCAATAATCAAATATTCGATACCATTAGTAACCGCACAAACGGTAACCTGTCCCTTTTTGGGGCGTGGGGAGGGAGAACTGAGTCAAAATTATATACGTCACCGTGGTGGTTGATGAACATTTAGGATCGGGTCCCCTTGGTAAAATCCCCGCTACACCCCTGAGAGGGATGAGTTGTATTGTCTTACGGGTCGTAGTCATTGAAATCCCACGATGAGGAGAGGACGGCGAGATAGTTTCAAACTGAATGTAACTAATGAGAACCTAGAGTCATTCATGTACCCCCTTGATACTCCAAAAATAATCACTTTTCTCTCTTAGTTGAAGATCTTCCATATCGTCAGACCCATGTCTGCACCTGTGGCGACGCATAAGCAACCATATCTGACCACAGCTGATAGAAAATACTTGGGGAACATAGACTTACTAATAAAAACAAAATACCGGTAACCGTCCAATTGAGACAACCTGACATTGCGACCTGAAACTTTCTTCACACAAGACACACAGTAAGCCCCGATCGTGGCCGCAAGAATATGTTATGATCATTCCATACACAGTGGCTCTAGTGACACCTCAAAACGAGCCTGTTTCTGCGAAAACTATCAGCCATGAAATCAAATTTATGTTCATTAATTGATATTCCCAATAAGGCCAGTTCTCAGTCGAACAATTTGCTGTAATGCGAATTGATTAGATCTACAAGCCCCCTTTAGCTGTACAGAGGTGCTCAAAAATGAATAACCCTTAACCCTTCGACAAGTAATCACCAGCCAAAATCCAACCAGTGGTCACCTGTTTCTCAAGGGCAAATAGATTCATAACGTTCTCCTCCCTCAACCCACCAATGAAATTTAAGTCTGTTTCTTTTTATTCTAATGTGCAGTAAATCACTTGAAAAGAACTTTTTTTCATATACCTATGTGTCTACTTTTTGGATAAATAATGAGAAACTAAACAAGAAGTAAAAACCACAAGCATGCATATGACCATGCAACCAGTCAGGGGGGTTTTCATTAGCTAAATTAATGACATATTTACTCCTTGATCACAATCAAAAATACATTCTAGTGTAGTGTTATTGCAGAGCGCTCAGCCAACAACACAGGAGGCTATGACCGTGAAAAATCGTTGATAAAAAAAATCGAAGCGCGTACGTTTTGTCGATCTACGATTTTTATTCATTCGTGTACATCACCATCGCGTTCAAGTGACTTTTAATTTTTTAGCCAATGTGATATAAAATAGTTCAAGTTTTCATCAAAGGAGTGCATTCTATTATTAAAAAGGACCACTTTTAATTTTAAGACGAGACAGAAATTTGAACTGATATCAGAATATTTTAGGACAATTTTTGTTCTAAACCACAGTGAATGAACAGTCATAAATATGTATAACTGAATTTAAAAAACTGGAATTAACACAATTTGTAAAACTATACTCAGTTTGTACTCAGGTAGAGACATATTTTCTGGACCAAATCTTCAGTACTTTAAAATCGTCCCAAGGATTGAAAGAAATTAAATCAGACACTTTCCATTTTAAGTCTTTGATACATTTTTCACGTTTCCGTGTGGTGCAACTTTCAATGAGTGTGTACACGTGTTTTTCAGTCAAAAATGTTAATGAGTTCGTATGTTAAATAATTACACTGATCTTATCGCACTTTAAGCGAATATCTTTGATTTATGACATCCTTTAAAAGATAAAAACATCGTCCTGCTGCATTTCAGCAGTTCTGGGTTACAACTATTGAACGTACAGCGTGGCATTCACGCGCAGGAACGCAGCAAAGCTGAGCACGTGCGCTTTGCGAAAACTGCGACAGCGTTTCGTTATAGAACTGAACGATGTACTCGTGTGTCTCCCTAATACTTTTCGGTCTTTTCGCACAAGAAATCAAGGGAGAAATTCCTTCGGAAAACACCAGTGAAGGTGCCTTCTTTGCCTACAATACAGAGTCTTCTTATGCAGCATTTGAGGCATGGCGAATACCTGGAGAGCTATCATTCCTTTTCAAAACTAACAAGCCCAGTGCCATTCTCGCTTACCAAGGTGACGGCAACCACAAATTCTTCGATTTGTTCCTTGTCCAAGGAAAGCTCCGCGCGCGGGTAAGATTTAACACCTGCAGACAAAGAGAACTGATAGTTAATGGAAACTTCTCTGATTCTCTTTGGCATAGAGTTCGCTTGACAAGAGGGAATGAAGAAGTCACCCTAACTGTGGATGGATGTAAAACAGAACCTTTTCCCTGCCAATTTACCGCTTCTGATTCACAAGACTGGAAAATTCTCTACGTGGGTAATATTCCATTGCATATCAATTCTCTGGATCTGGCAAATCCACAAAGCGGCTCCGAATTTATTGAGTAAGTAGAAAAATGGTTTCTTTATTACTATCATTCTATATGAAGCAGACATCTAACACACCCTACTGACGCACATCTATTTCAAATCGCATGAAAACATTTCTTTTTATTCAAGATAGCAGAATGAAAAGAAAACTTTTGCAAGAAAAAAATGAGATGAGATGTCAAAATGCTTATGAAAAATGCATAACTTGAGAGTATTAAAACTTTACCAAGTGGTTTACAAGGCGAAAAAATTATCATTAAGTACTGAAAAATACGTCATATTTATTACGTTTAAGGTTGTAGTTCAGTTTATAAACCTTTTATGCCTGTTGACAACTTTGATTTACGCAGATTCCAGGGTTGCATTGGTCATGTGACTCAAACTACACCTGAACACAGTCCCAAGCCATTAGCACTGCTTCATAGCAATTTGACTGGTACCAACTGTCAGAGTCAATGCAGTTCTGGCGGGAAATGTGATCCAATTGCTGACGTTACCATGAAAGAATGCGAATGTCCCGGATACGGAAATAAAGCAGTGACCTGCAGGCGTTACTTAGCCCTTCCCAAAGCGAATTTCAGTGATTCAGCCAAAGTTAGCGCTTCGCCTTTATCTCCCTCAACATCTCTGGACTTCTCTAGCAAAATCACGCCCACCGTTTTATCCAAGGGCGAGATGATTATGAAAGCCACGTCTTCATCTGAAATAAGTTGGAGGTCAAGCATAACCCGTTTCCTGTCAGCGACGACGCATGCACGAGAAACTCCTAAAGTGGAAGGGCAACATGCCGACAAAGCAGTTATGCGTCATTCGCACTCGGTTCCAGGTCTCTTCAACCGTTCACAACATCTTGTCACAACTCACTCGAGCTCGCTTCCGCCAACAGTACTGTTCCCCAGCTCAGCAGGAGTTCCTCTTGGCAGTTCTGTCAATGATAATACCTCGGCTGTGATGGCAAAAAAGAACAGTGCTTTACGAAGTCTCGGATCATGGGTCTTCGTTTACTTTGCAGTGACTATGTCAGTTGCCAACACCCTTATAAATCTGTAAATACTTCAATATTTGTGTGGTAGCTCTGCTCGTCTGATAGGTTTGAAACAATGGATTTAGTAACTCAGACTGAGGTCTTTGGAGCAAGATGTACTGAAGCCGAAAATTTTGAAGGTGATTAAATTCATGGGAAGTATAATTCAAGTGAGGATATTGTCTTCGTGTCCGAATGAGCCCAAACACCAAAGACATTCTGATACTCATGGCCCAATCATGGATGAGATGAATCAGTTTCAAACATATCTTTCTTTTGCTTGTCGATATGGTGGTAATTCAATAATGTAAAAAAAACTGGAGTATTTGTCTTGATTCTCGAGAAAACTTGCTGAAATGTCGCTGGTTTTAATGTCGCTGAGCAAGAGAAGAAGTTGTCTGACGACCTCTTATGGCCCAGATGTGAATGAACGGAATTTGACATTGTAAGATCAGAAGTTAGGACGGGCATTAACATGAACAAGAATTCTTCGAGGAAAAGAGAACGTCAATAATTAAAAATCCTTTCGGTTGATGCGGTCTGATATAATTTTTTTAGAAATAGCTTCTTCAGCCCCACAAATCTTGCTTGATAACAGATACTGGACTTCTACCATGAGAATTCTCGAAGAATAGAAACTGCTAGTTTAGAATATTGCATCATGTCTTGTATCGCAAGAAAAGTCAATGATTTCAGCACTCACCTAAGGAGGTCGATTTCAACAACATTTTTGAAAATTTTTACAATATCTTTAAACACTTTACAAAACGCTCTTTTAGCGAAATTAGGCTGTTTTAGCTAATGTACTTCAGTTTAAGAGCGAAAGAGACCAACCAATTCGTAATATGATTAAGAGTACTTTTAAACTTATCATTTCTCACCTCTTAATAGCAAGTTTGGCATGGTTCATTTCTGCAATTTAAACCAATATCTGTTAGATTCTATGAATGCAAACAGCGTTTTTCAGATGAATTGAAGGACAATCTGGATTTCAATGTAATTTCTCATTATCCTGAGCCACTCGTAAAGAGTTAATAACAAATATATGTACGAAAGTGCTCAACAGAACTTCTTGAGTGCAAATGGATACAGATTTTATTAAAAGAGCTTGAGCCGATGATGTCATAAAAATAACTCGAAACATACGACGTTTCAAAATTAAATGGTTTAAATGACATATAACGTTTGAAATCACGTCCATTTTTTTTTTGAATTATCAAAGGATAATTTTCTGTTCGACCAAACATTAACTTTAGGTTAAACTACGGATTTTTAAAAAAGAAACTAAGGCAATGATCAGGGTAATTATTTTCAAATCAATGTCAATCAATTGTGGGATTACGTCTCCCCTCAGTTGTCAATACACGGGAATATGAGAGGTCATTTAAATTCACAATTCATCCCTAACCGCAATGTTATCGCTTTTTAGAAGAGCTGCAAACATCTGGTTGCGGGAATTTTAATTTCAGTACCTTTACAGAGCTTAGATCGCATAAAAAGCGCGAAAATTTTTGCTCCGTGTTCGGTAAATGATATATTTTGCGAGGGGGACAGTTTGTAGCCCAAATCGAATCTTACTTAAAATGTTAAAAGTGTGGCTAACTGTTCAGATTTGTTTGGCGATTACCATCTGCCAGCGATCCATCCATGGCGGACTTTCACAGCGAAGAAATTCAAAAAACAACACCTGGAAGTATGGCAACTTTGCTTACTCTGCTTACAAATCAGTACAATTTACAGATAATTCCACAATCGTCATCCGCTTCAAAACAACAAAAACACATGGAATGCTGTTTTACATGGATGATGGCAGCGTTCAAGAGTTCATGGATGCATTCCTGTTAAACGGGCTATTAAGAGTTCGTATTTCTATGGGCAAATGCACGGGAAATCAGAGGTTTATAAACGGCTCGTTTGCCGACCTCAAATGGCACAAACTCACTTTACAACGAATGTCCGAATCAGTGATTGTAGAGGTGGACAGCTTGGAATTAATCTATCTCTGTCGCGGACTTAAAAGAACTGACTTCAACAAATATGGGCCTTTTTTTGTGAGCTTCTTCCCGCTCCAAGAGTGGGGCAAAATCAAGTGGAATTTTCGCGATTCTTTTTCGACTGCTTTAGCATTTGGCGGGTAAGTTAGTCAACCAATAAGAATAAACAAGGACCCAGACAGGCAAATACTATTAGAGGATTTTATTTAAACCAGAGGCCTAATGGAAACTGGCTGCTGTTCATCGCTAAGATCATATTCTAGTGAAATCATAGCCAGTTTAAGAGGACCATGTTGCAAAATTTACTGTCGGTTGCCTAGTGCGCCAATGTATTAAAAATTCGCATGGTATAATGCGCTGACCTTTACTGACATTCGTAGGTATATTTAAGGATTTTCGTAAATGTTTTGACCACAACTGAACCTATTCCCATCATCTGTGAAAGAAAAAACCCCAAGCTTATTTGAAAATAATAAAGAACAAAACATTTCAATCACCGTGGAAAAAATAATATAAGGTACTACTGATGTAAGTGTATATAGGCGGCTGGCTTTCCCTGAATGACCACAGTGTGCATTTCGAATAGAACAAGAAGATAGACCTGCCTTGTACAGGAAAATAGACCCACTTAGTTGCTTTCATTTGGAAAGTTATTATCGTGGTACTACTTCTCTGAGGCTTTCATATGATTGGTCAAATCACGCAATGAAGATGCGTTGATGCGTTTACAAACTTTAAGTTAGAATCACCTCTTACAGCAAACCATTGGTAATTTATGATGTGAGTGCGCGTCAGACATGACATGATCCTAGTTGGTTATGTAACGATCTTATCAATCAAGAGCGAGAGCTATAATTGTTGTTTTTCGACACCTGCGAAATATTCAATCATCTCACTGATCATGAATTCTCGAAATTCATTTTTTGTTCGTTTGTCACTTGTATTTACGTTGGCTCGTTGATTAGGGATTTACCATCCTTGCACTTAGTGAATCTTTAATCCGGCTGCATACTTGAAACTCCTGGTATCGTTTAAGTTTCTCTCAACATGGTTACTCAGCCAGCAGAGGATGCGTGAAAATGATGCCAGTCCGGTGGGCGAAAAGTCAACCAATTCATCAGTTGTGAAATAAGATTCTCCTTTGGTGCAAGTCGCTGACGCAAACCTAGAGCACAAAGATACATTTTGAAAAACTCTTACCAGGGTGAACCTTTCTGTTTACCCAGGATAAAAACATGTTTTTATCCCGAGTTCTCGTTAGCTTCTTACAGTGTTTTGCTTTGTTCTGATTGGTTTTCTTGATTCATGACGTAACTCCGGGCAAATCCTGTTCTTCAGTAATATTTTAAAATCGATTAAGGAAAAGTTGCGAGCATGCGCATTGTGATCAGTCTGTGGTTGCGCGACCAATCAGAATTAATCGCTTAGCTAAGTTAAGAGCGCTTTTGGATTGAGTGTCGTATAACATAAACTAAAGTGATCAAAACAATCAGGATAATATCTCAAGGTGCAAATGAAACCTCAAAGCAAAAAGATACATACTCCCTGAAGCGGACCGATCACAGAGCAAAGTAAGGCACGGACGCAATTACTACGCATTTCTTTCGATGTGTATTTGAATATTGGTCTGATGGAAAAGCGTCAATAAAACAAATGCAAGCATTTTGTTGAGCCCGGTGAAGACAAATCGGAATATCTCCTACTTTCTGTTGATTTTTAATCTTTGTTCACAGCCATTATTTAGAATTTTCAAGAACTGAGAATTATACGCGTGTCATTAAAAGGTCTGAGTGGGATCTCCTTCAATCAAATAAGTTAATAAATTTATCGATGTAACAAAAAGAACAGCTTTAAGTGTTTAACAGGCCGAAATATTTTTCAGGAGTAAATTTACCATATTTATCCTTAAAGACGGTCAGTTTCCTGCGTACTTAGATTAGAGGCTAAGCGCACAGATAAAAAGAACTGAGATCAAGAAAATCATTCAGTTTGAGTGGAGATTTTGACCCTGAAACCAAACTTTAAGGAGAGATCAATAATAACGCATTTTTTAAAAAAATAATAATTAAGTTATGCCTATAATTTTGAGCGCTTTCTTTAAGAAGATAAGATAAAAAACAATCAAACTACCCAAAAGACAACATCGTGACACGCACCTCTCTCTGATAGTTAACACTGATCGCGGGATGTACAAAGAACTCCAGTTGTGGATAACTTGATCAAAACAACATCTGACCCGGCCATCAAAGATAAATAATAAAAAGCACATGGCACAAACTTGAATTGTTTTCTTCCTTCCTAGATTTGAGGGGTGTATAAAAACACCAAAGTTCGCTGTAGGCGACCAAAAGTTACGCCGCGCCTCTCTTTGGAAAAGTGAGCGTGCCGTGGAGGGTTGCCGTGACGCATGCAAAGATCCCAGTTTTGGAGGAAAATGTTACAATGGTGGGAAATGTGTGAACAAGATCGTGAGGAGAGAATGTGATTGCAGCAAGACTCGATTCAATGGTCCAAACTGCTCCCGAGGTAACAGATATAAGCTTCAATTGTTAACTTGAGTGATATATTCATAAATGTTTTATAACTAAATAAATCATTGTTAGTACAGGAAAGTTCACCTTCATTGACGAGGTCTTTCCTCGATTTCCTTCAATCTATTTTAATCTGTTTAAGGTCGAAGCAGTTTTCTCCTTTGCTGAGTTTGAAGGTCTGTTCAGGCAACATCGCTGTTTGTTTTCAGTTGTTTGGTTCTCTAGTGTGAGTTGTCTAAGAGCAGGTTAACAGAAAACAAGACATAAGTGAGATAAATTCAGAACTATTCCGGCTGACAGCAGAGAAACAGCCAAGATTTTTTGAACCATAGAAAGGAAATAATCCAAACCAGACTTATTCAGATTTTTCTTACGCTGACATCTTGAATTGTGCTCAACTATGCGAAATTAATGCTTTTGGTTAACCGATTTGCGTTTGAAATGTGAGTAAGTATGAAGACTCGATAACCATCTGGCGGAGTAACCGCTTGGTAACCCATTAATAAAGGAAAGTAAATTTAATTGTGATTTATCGACGGATTAAATTTCTGTTTATTAATATTTCATTTCATCTGGTTTTGAATAAACTGTATTTTCTCCGTAAATGTCTGGAAAGACTGAGTTCTTACAGACCATTTGATCTCGCCACTTAGTAAAGACATTCAAGTTTGATCCCGAAGTTTCTCCATAAATCTCGAGAGTGAAGCAAGTCGGGCGTTTCATTAAATTTTTAACTACCAATTAATGATCTTTGAATCATAGCCATGGAGGTATTTGCTCTATTTTGCCCGTTAGTTGCTCTCCTCGACTCCGTAGCGGGGCTGCATTTCCACGAAGGTGCCGATTGGTCTTTCGCAGAGTTCAGAGGTTGGGCCATGTCCAGAAGAAGTGAGCTGCAGTTCTACTTTAAAACAGGTGCAAGTAGATCTGCTTTACTACTGTATCAGGATAACAAAAAAAAGAACACTGATAACGATTTCCTTGAAATGTCCTTGAACAGTGATGGCTACGTTCAGCTTTACGTCCGGGGAAATCGGTGCTTCCCTGAGAAACGCACGATTCGTCAAAACTTTACCGACGATACCTGGCATCTGGTGACAATTGCAAGAAATAGTTTTCTTCTCAATTTCAGCGTCGATGATATTACAGCTGAAACGATCTCTTGCGTGGCACCTCCACAGTTATCTGGATTCGATGGCAAAGCAATCAACTCTCTTTACATTGGGGGAATTCCGTTCCTTGATTCCCAGGGAGATCCAACCCTCAAAGTATGGTCCCTGACCGGTCTGTTCCAAAAAGTAGGCCAAGAATACAGGTGAGAAACGAGAAAGAGAGTGGCGTGATATAGCGAGATGAGCGAAATAACGAGATAGGTAAAAAAGTCAATTGTAATTTCTTTTCAGACATCGTTTGCAATACAAGTCTGATTGAAAATTTGTTGTAATTAACTGTTTTGATTCAATTCCTGGGTAAAGTAACTAACTTAGTTATACTATTGCGAGTGATTTTCATTTCAATGCCTTATGATTATTCAAAATCAAAATTGATAACATTTTGGTTGAAGTAGTAGATGAGTTGTGTGTCTGCCCTATTCAACATCATAAAACTGATTTTCAGCTTTGAGCCGCTGACGTCAAAAGTGAAAAGCTTATTGGATTAATTTTAAGGCTTATTTGATCTTCATGGTAGCCAGTCAAAATTGGCTGATTTTTTGCGCTGTAGAATAGTTTTCCCATAATTTTTATTGATATTTAAAACAAAAAAAATTACCCGATGTCGTTTTAAGTAGAAAATGTCACGATGTTATAAATATATGTGATAGAGAAAAGCCGCAACTCGCTTTTAACCCAAGATTACAGAAAAAATCTACTGAATTTTTTTCTCTCCTAAAGCAATCATATATATCTACTTCTTTTAAATAAATTTTTCCTGCTCCTCTAGGTAAATGAAGAAACAAACTGGAGATATCAATTTCTTTTTCTCTGATTTTCAGCTGGTTTCAAGGATGTATTGCTCTCGTGAGATACAGCACCGATTCGAAGCGATTTCGGAATGCTAGGCTCGTGCGGTATGATGGTATTTCTAAAAACTGCAGTGGTGAGGCGTGTTCAAGTGCGGAACAGAACAAGTGTCAAAATGGAGGACGCTGTGTTGATCTGGTGGTCAGGGCCGAATGTGATTGTGAGAAAACTGGGTATTACGGTCGCTTTTGTGAACAAAAAGGTATAATTCACTCACTAGACATAATGTTTTCTATTTGATTACATTATCCTTTTGAAATGCCTTGTTTTTTTTATTCATTATGTTTTTCGACAAAGTGATAAATTTTTTAACCATAAAATCTTTCAAATCTGTTGCCACCTTTTGGGGAGCTATGCCCTACTAGCTCTGCATACGACATTTGAGTTAGCCAAAATACCTTAAACCTGCAATTTAACTCCAGGTATTTGTTGCCTCTCTTGTTAATTAAAGTGAATCTCTAATACAAAGTAGGTCACACATCCTGTCTAGGCAGTTCTGTGCAGAAAGGCGACTGCACGTGGCTGAAACCTGCAAGAAAGTGGTCTGCTATCAAAGACCCCTTGAGGAGGAAAAATTGGTCTCTTTCTTGACTTCATTACTTTGTACTTTGTATGACTTTGTGTAAATTTCGTATTGATTTAACTTTTCACCTTCATCATCATCATTGAGAGAAGGGTGTGCCTAATGTAGAGGTTGCTGAAACGAATTCGTCTCTAATAAATGTTGAAAATACATTTAGCTAATTGCTTTTCCCTAAGCAGCAAAAAGATAATCGCTTATATGAAATTAACCAATTTTGCTTTACACCACCCCACCACGATCTTCAAAATCAACTTTTTTAATAACACAATCATCATACTAATAGAGCATCAAAAGTTAATGGGTATAAAAAATTTTCACCACAGCAGTAAAGAAGTATATCAATTCAACAGGATCTTCACATGTGAACAGAATAGTTTCCAATGGAACAGATGTCACCGCACAAAAAAACAACACCAAAGACGACGACAATAACGTCAGTAGCGGTGGAGATGTAAATGCAGGCAATGGGGATGGCGACGATGTAAATGATCCAGGTAAAAGCACCAAAGGAGTAGCAGTGAGCGAAAGCAAGAAGGTCCATAATGGAGTTTCACCTCTGGTCGTTTCGCCGCCGGTTTGCTTTTTTCTTTACATGACAGCTTTACTCATCGACATTGATGTAGCCTGATAGTGTCCTGGTCCTCTGAAAGCTGGAGTCTCGAAAGAATCTCAAGCCTCAATAGTGTAGATAAAATTGCGCTTAATGGAGGGGTAGGTTCGAGAGTCGATCAACAGGCTGTTAGGTGACAGAATAACCGTATTAATACTTCATACTATCTATCTTTCAGAGGTTTAGACAGTAAGAATCTTTCAGCGTGGTAACCGCTTCAGAAATTCTCACCAGTTCCCGTTATTCTGCAAACAGTAAACTACATAGGTTCTATAAGATATCAACACCAAAAATTTCATAACTGATTTTGTCCAACGGTTTATTAAGTGCGCAATCTGCACCATGTTGTCACTTTTCATTCGTTCTCTGCAGAAAAGTATGATTGAATTTAAGCAGTGAATGACTCACGTTATTAGTTTTATTTAAAGAGTATTTCTCTCATCTGTATTTAAAATAACCAATGGATTTACGCAGGAAATGTGAAACTGTGTACATTAAGTAATTATTAATATGTATCTACACGCATCTTTTATACAATAATAATCACGTTAAAGAAGAAGAATGTAACTATAAGATATTTAAAAAATGTACTTCCTGCCTTAAAGAACGTTTTCAGTGAGTTTTTAGTGTAGCTAAAGAGTGGCGTATTACCACAGCTCGTCAGATCAAGAAAAATATAACAACTTAATGAGAACTTAAAGCGAAAAAAGCAAACGACCTTAGGCGCAGGGAAACGTAAGTGGCCAAGGCGCGATTGGTAAAAGTTTTGCCTCTAATTGGCTGGAACGATGGCGCAAGCTTTTAAAAGCTTTTAAAATTTCTCTAAGCACTTGATCGTGGTTTGTTTTCAAAGTAGTAGTGCTGCTGCTGTATGTAGCATGTCAATCAATCATGGGCAGAAATGAAGGACATCATGGCGGCCAAGCATGCGCAGAGTTTTCCTAATGCCCTTTAAAAATGTCCGAAGCTTCTAAGGATTTGTATGGCAAAGTTCTAATATTAAAAAATTTTGAAAAAATTAAAATAATTATCGTACTTGCGAGCATCGGTGTGCTATCGTGTTAGTGAGTTGCTGCTTTGGACGAAATTTCGAGGTTCACACTCGTTTCGTCTTTGATCCCAAACAAATTACGCAAATCCCATATAAGAGTCATATTGCACTTCCATACAAACACAGTAAATTGGCTGAAATAGCCAAACTTCGACCCGGCACATCCGCGAAAGAAGACAATATTGGTAGGTTGCGAGCATCGCGCTGCGAACAGGGGTCTCTTATCTCTCATTTTGTGCCGCTTTTTTGGATGAATGTGGCATTCTCTTTGATCCCCGTAAAGTTGAAGATTTGCAGTATTCATCGCGAACAGAACTTTCGCCTTTAGTCACGCAGAAAGGATATCGCAGAAGTTGGATCGACGGTTCTTCCCGAACAAATGGTTTCCGACGCCATTTGTACATTCAAAGGCTTCGTATCTTAGCTTGTTTACATAGGTCAGATGATATAAATAAAGAAAACTGATTGGTTCAAGGGTGATATTAAAAAATAACCGTGCTTTGCCGTAACGCTATCCATTCCGTGACATGGTTGCGTGACTTTCAATTTAGGCATAAACGTGACGCAAGTTTCTCATTTCTTTCCGGTCTCAATCTGTTATTTTGCAATAAAGTAATAAAACATCTTACCTCTCCAGTTTCGTAATCACTTGAAACATTTACAATGACGGACGCACCTCCTCCCAACTATATATTTAATACGAAATTGGCACCACAACCTCCTTCACTGAAATATGTCTCACAGTCCATGGCGGAAAATGTTGCATTTACCTTTGACATACCTTTCCCTATGCTTAAAGCTTGGAATGAATTCCTTGATAAACCAGAAAATGAAGGGACAGAGGAAGAAGAACACGTGGATGGTGAACTGACGCAAGGTCCGATCACGCTGGAAGTATTTCAGAAACGTATGAGGAAAAAATATAAAACTTACATAGACTTGTTTGAACTTATTATTCCTAGCAATCTGTTTTCTATCAGAAAATCGGAAGAAGTGAGAGAAGAGTTGAATGAATCTCTGCGAAAATTAGCTTCTTCTGTGAAGTCTCAATACAAGCAGATCAGGGGGAGAAAGGGCCTTGCCCTAAACTCGAAAATAAAAAAGTTCCATGTGTTTGAGAGACATGTTCAGTCAGCAGCAGAGCTGGAGAGGGAAAATGAACAACTAAAGGAGTTGAACTCTTCCCTGCATGAAGAAATTGAAGAGTGGAAATCAAACTATGCAAATTTGGAGGAAGAAAAGAGAAAAATGCTTCATGAAATGCAAGCTGAAATAAGAACACTTCAAGATGATGTTGAAAAAGCTGAGACTACAAATAAAGAATTAATTGATTATATTGAACGCCTGCAGACAGCTCAGCAAGACAAGGGGAAAGACATTTCTCAAGTAAAGAAAAAGTCGAGGACTTTGAAGACTTTCATGACAAGAGCTCAGACAGCACTGTGGTTTGCCAAGTCCTTTGGACTAGAAATTGAGTCAGTTGCCATGAAAGAAGTTTAGACTGGAAGCAAGCATAATGTAAAAATGGCCAGTGATGACCAGCAAGAAAACACTGCCACAGGGTTTGACTCCCTTTCAGAAGAGGAAAAAGAAAAAGTAGATAAAATTTTATTTCTATTAGACAAATTTTGTGTGGGGGACTCATTTTATCATGAGTTCTCAATGTATAATGATCTTCCTAAATCATATATAATCAAGCAACGGCGAACACAACTAAATGACATGTGCCATATTGTATCTACACCTGGGAGGGCTGAGGGGGCAGAAGTTTCATTCAAGGAACTTCTGAAGGAAAGGGTGCAAGATTTAATCGACCAAAATCCAGAATTTGATTTTGAAAATGAAATTGTTAAAGTTAAAATATCGGGGGATGGGGCAAGGATGACTCGCAATACAACCTTTATCATTCTTTCTTTGCTTTGTTGCAAAATAACAGTCATTTAATGTCAGCAAGGGGAAATAACACAATCGCCATTGTGAAGGGCTCAGAAAATTATGAAACACTGAAGGAGTCATTTGCTAATGTTTTTTCAGACATAAATGATCTAAATTCAATGACCAAAATCACAATGAATGGGAAAGAAATAAAACTTGAATTCTTTTTGGGGGGAGATTATAAATTCATTTTAATCATGTTGGGTCTCAAAGGTGCCACCTCATTCTATGCTTGTGCCTGGTGCAAAGTTCACAAAGATAAAAGATGGGATATGAACCATGAGGAAGATTTTTACAATAAGCCACCATTGCAAAGAACACTAAAAGAATTAAAAGAATTATCAAAAAAGGGCAGAGAAAATTTTTGCTGTGCACATGAGCCTCTATTAAACATTGAGTTAGATCATGTAATTTTAGACAAATTGCACCTTTTGCTTAGAGTAGTTGATGTGTTACTAAATAATTTACTGGAGGATGTATTACAGTGGGACAAAAAAGATGATTTAAATAAGAAAAGGGGAGAAAAGAAAGGTGTTCATCGAGAGAGGCTGCAGGCTGCAGTGCGCTCATGTGGGGTTAGTTTTGATATCTGGGAAAAAACCAATGCTGATGGAAAGGGATCAGGCACCTATGATTTTACAAGTTTGCTTGGGAATGACAAAAAGCAACTCCTGAGAGAGCTCCCAGGCAAAATTTTAAGTGTTGTTCAGACTTCAACTTCAAATACTGTCAAGAAAATATGGGAAGACTTTAGGGAACTATATACATTTATTGGAAGTGGTCAAAATTCAGATAAGCAAATTACAGATTTTTTTGAAAAGGCTAAAAGCTGGGTAAACCTTTTCATTTCTCTAAGAGACAAAAGAAAGGGCTATGAACGTGCACGAATAACACCGTATATCCATGCTATGGTGTTCCATATCCCCAAGTTCTTCAGGACCCACAAGTCTGTAAAAATTTTCACAGGGCAGGGTGTGGAGAAAAACAATGATTATGCTAGAAACATTGTATTACATAAATCAAATAAATGGGATGCTGCCTCAGATGTCCTAAAAGTTGAGGCCAGACAATGGGCACTACGCAAATCAGAAAGGGAGAAAAGGCCATATAATAAATCAAATACAGAATACTGGGAAAAAGATCTCCTTGAGGCAAGGAGCAAGAAAAGGAAAACAACATTTGATCCTGAAGAACCTGAGTAACGCTTAGTTTACCATGAGGGTAACATATATATCTAGGGTAGTCTCAGTAGACCACCACTGCACTGAACAATGGAGAGAACTCAGTATTGAAAAATAGAACAATAACAACAATGATTGGGATAGCAATCTCAAATACTACAAAACTATTGATTTTTTTGTTCTTTGGATTGTAAAAATGTTCTCTGGCATTCAATGAAGTGGAGGTCTACTCTTGTGTCCTTTATACTTACTTAACAAATTGAAAAACAGCCTGCACACCGCAAGTACTTCTAGGTTGTAAATATGAAAAATTTGACTCAATATAAGAATATGTGATGAACTACTACAAAAATATAGATTTTCTATTTTGTAATAAATACACAATGCCAAATAGAATCAAATCAAGTCTTGGTTTCTTTAATTTGTCTCATGTCAGGCTGCATGCTGCTTTACAAAAAGAAATACTCAATTTTTCTGGCCTATATCGTGGGCAAGGTGTAATTGACTCCCCTGTCAAGCTATGAGTCTTTGGACTCCATGACAAAAACAATCTGACCTTCACAGGAAAGTCAATTTGCACCCCATCCCCTATACTATCTATTAGCCTGTGCCATCCATTAGGAAAGTGGCATCTTATAAAATCCTGTTTTTCAAGGAGGATGTATCCACTGTCATTACTTTTCCATCCCTTATCTTTAAACAAAAAGTTAAAAAAAGTGTGGTTAAAAGCAATGACAGTGGGTAATTGAGACTTTGATTTTAACTGCTCTAAAATGCCAATGTGGAGACCCTCACTGGCATCAGCAATCTCTTGCTGTGTGAGCCTTGGGTTGTTGAATGACCTAAGGGCAAGGAAAAAACATTCATCTTAAAAAATAGCATTACAATTTTTACATTGAATAGGAAATTATTACATACAAGCAGAGAATATCAACAGAGAAAACCAATGTAACGGATTTCTCCTGTTTTTTGTGTAATTATAAAGCTGTTAATCACACATGATATCTCACCTCAAAGCAAAGGCGTTTAAATTCTCTTCTGGCTCCCAGGAGTTTTGTAGGCTCGAGTAGCCCTTCCACTTGATGAAATATTCAATCTAGACCAACGATTGAGTAAGGTTTAACGAGTATTCGTTATGAAAGAGAGATTCATTTCAGTCAAACACTCGGAGCAAAGTAGATTCGCTTACCTTTTTCTTACTGACTCTTTTTGAAACGACTCTTTCGATCTCGTAGAATCTAGATTTTTTCTCTTTCTCTCTGTGTAAAAATCCGCGGTACTGAGATCATTCAGCGATTTGTAAAACAAAATTCTTGGCATTTCGCTCACTGATAGCTTTCCGACTGCTTCACAACCAAGCTACGCAGACTCAGCAGGGTCGAAATGTACAGAATAGAGCCCGCGTCACGAACCACTGAGTGTCCTAAATTTATGCGTGCGCTTTGCGAAAACTGCGACAGCGTTTCGTTAGAGAACTGAACGATGTACTCGTGTGTCTCCCTAATACTTTTCGGTCTTTTCGCACAAGAAATCAAGGGAGAAATTCCTTCGGAAAACACCAGTGAAGGTGCCTTCTTTTCCTACAATACAGAGTCTTCTTATGCAGCATTTGAGGCATGGCGAATACCTGGAGAGCTATCATTCCTTTTCAAAACTAACAAGCCCACTGCCTTTCTCGCTTACCAAGGTGACGGCAACTACGAATACTTCGATTTGTTCCTTGTCCAAGGAAAGCTCCGCGCGCGGGCAAGATTTAACACCTGCAGACTAAGAGAACTGATAGTTGATGGAAACTTCTCTGATTCTCTTTGGCATAGAGTTCGCTTGACAAGAGGGAATGAAGAAGTCACCCTAACTGTGGATGGATGTAAAACAGAATCTTCTCCCTGCCAATTTGCCGCTTCTGTTTCACAAGACTGGAAAATTCTCTACGTGGGTAATATTCCATTGCATACCATTTTTCTTGATCTGGCAAATCCACAAAGCGGCTCCGAATTTATTGAGTAAGTAGAAAAATGATTTCTTTATTACTATCATTCTATATGAGGCAGACATCTAACACACCCTACAGACGCACATCTATTTAAAATCGCATGAAAACATTTCTTTTTATTCAAGATAGCAGAATGAAAAGAAAACTTTTGCAAGAAAAAAATGAGATGAGATGTCAAAATGCTTATGAAAAATGCATAACTTGAGAGTATTAAAACTTTACCAAGTGGTTTACAAGGCGAAAAAATTATCATTAAGTACTGAAAAATACGTCATATTTATTACGTTTAAGGTTGTAGTTCAGTTTATAAACCTTTTATGCCTGTTGACAACTTTGATTTACGCAGATTCCAGGGTTGCATTGGTCATGTGACTCAAACTACACCTGAACGCAGTCCCAAGCCATTAGCACTGCTTCATAGCAATTTGACTGGTGCCAACTGTCAGAGTGAATGCAGTTCTGGCGGGAAATGTGATCCAATTGCTGACGTTACCATGAAAGAATGCGAATGTCCCGGATACGGAAATAGAGCAGTGACCTGCAGGCGTTACTTAGCCCTTCCCAAAGCGAATTTCAGTGATTCAGCCAAAGTTAGCGCTTCGCCTTTATCTCCCTCAACATCTCTGGGCTTCTCTAGCAAAATCACGCCTACCGTTTTATCCAAGGGCGAGATGATTGTGAAAGCCACGTCTTCATCTAAAATAAGTTGGAGGTCAAGCATAACCCGTTTCCAGTCAGCGACGACGCATGCACGAGAAACTCCTAAAGTGGAAGGGCAACATGCCGACAAAGCAGTTGTGCGTCATTCGCACTCGGTTCCAGGTCTCTTCAACCGTTCACAACATCTTGTCACAACTCACACGAGCTCGCTTCCGCCAACAGTACTGTTCCCCAGCTCAGCAGGAGTTCCTCTTGGCAGTTCTGTCAATGATAATACCTCGGCTGTGATGGCAAAAAAGAACAGTGCTTTACGAAGTCTCGGATCATGGGTCTTCGTTTACTTTGCAGTGACTACGTCAATTGCCAACACCCTTATAAATCTGTAAATACTTCAATATTTGTGTGGTAGCTCTGCTCGTCTGATAGGTTTTAAACAATGGATTTAGTAACTAAATAACTTTTCAGCAAGATGTACTGAAGCCGAAAATTTTGAAGGTGATTTAATTCATGGGAAGCATAATTCAAGTGAGGATATTGTCTTCGTGTCCGAATGAGCCCAAACACCAAAGACATTCTGATACTCATGGCCCAATCATGGATGAGATGAATCAGTTTCAAACATATCTTTCTTTTGCTTGTCGATATGGTGGTAATTCAATAATGTAAAAAAAACTGGAGTATTTGTCTTGATCCTCGAGAAAACTTGCTGAAATGTCGCTGGTTTTAATGTCGCTGAGCAAGAGAAGAAGTTGTCTGACGACCTCTTATGGCCCAGATGTGAATGAACGAAATTTGACATTGTAAGATCAGAAGTTAGGACGGGCATTAACATGAACAAGAATTCTTCGAGGAAAAGAGAACGTCAATAATTAAAAATCCTTTCGGTTGATGCGGTCTGATATAATTTTTTTAGAAATAGCTTCTTCAGCCCCACAAATCTTGCTTGATAACAGATACTGGACTTCTACCATGAGAATTCTCGAAGAATAGAAACTGCTAGTTTAGAATATTGCATCATGTCTCGTATCGCAAGAAAAGTCAATGATTTCAGCACTCACCTAAGGAGGTCGATTTCAACAACATTTTTGAAAATTTTTACAATATCTTTAAACACTTTACAAAACGCTCTTTTAGCGAAATTAGGCTGTTTTAGCTAATGTACTTCAGTTTAAGAGCGAAAGAGACCAACCAATTCATAATATGATTAAGAGTAATTTTGAACTTATCATTTCTCACCTCTTAAAAGCAAGTTTGGCATGGTTCATTTCTGCAATTTAAACCAATATCTGTTAGATTCTATGAATGCAAACAGCGTTTTTCAGATGAATTGAAGGACAATCTGGATTTCAATGTAATTTCTCATTATCCTGAGCCACTCGTAAAGAGTTAATAACAAATATATGTACGAAAGTGCTCAACAGAACTTCTTGAGTGCAAATGGATACAGATTTTATTAAAAGAGCTTGAGCCGATGATGTCATAAAAATAACTCGAAACATACGACGTTTCAAAATTAAATGGTTTAAATGACATACGTTTGAAATCACGTCCATTTTTTTTTTTTAATTATATAATTATATAATTTTCTGTTCGACCAAACATTAACTTTAGGTTAAACTACGGATTTTTAAAAAAGAAACTAAGGCAATGATCAGGGTAATTATTTTCAAATCAATGTCAATCAATTGTGGGATTACGTCTCCCCTCAGTTGTCAATACACGGGAATATGAGAGGTCATTTAAATTCACAATTCATCCCTAACCGCAATGTTATCGCTTTTTAGAAGAGCTGCAAACATCTGGTTGCGGGAATTTTAATTTCAGTACCTTTACAGAGCTTAGATCGCATAAAAAGCGCGAAAATTTTTGCTCCGTGTTCGGTAAATGATATATTTTGCGAGGGGAACAGTTTGTAGCCCAAATCGAATCTTACTTAAAATGTTAAAAGTGTGGCTAACTGTTCAGATTTGTTTGGCGATTACCATCTGCCAGCGATCCATCCATGGCGGACTTTCACAGCGAAGAAATTCAAAAAACAACACCTGGAAGTATGGCAACTTTGCTTACTCTGCTTACAGATCAGTACAATTTACAGATAATTCCACAATCGTCATCCGCTTCAAAACAACAAAAACACATGGAATGCTGTTTTACATGGATGATGGCAGCGTTCAAGAGTTCATGGATGCATTCCTGTTAAACGGGCTATTAAGAGTTCGTATTTCTATGGGCAAATGCACGGGAAATCAGAGGTTTATAAACGGCTCGTTTGCCGACCTCAAATGGCACAAACTCACTTTACAACGAATGTCCGAATCAGTGATTGTAGAGGTGGACAGCTTGTAATTAATCTATCTCTGTCGCGGACTTAAAAGAACTGACTTCAACAAATATGGGCCTTTTTTTGTGAGCTTCTTCCCGCTCCAAGAGTGGGGCAAAATCAAGTGGAATTTTCGCGATTCTTTTTCGACTGCTTTAGCATTTGGCGGATAAGTTAGTCAACCAATAAGAATAAACAAGGACCCAGACAGGCAAATACTATTAGAGGATTTTATTTAAACCAGAGGCCTAATGGAAACTGGCTGCTGTTCATCGCTAAAATCATATTTTAGTGAAATCATAGCCAGTTTAAGAGGACCATGTTGCAAAATTTACTGTCGGTTGCCTAGTGCGCCAATGTATTAAAAATTCGCATGGTATAATGCGCTGACCTTTACTGACATTCGTAAGTATATTTAAGGATTTTCGTAAATGTTTTGACCACAACTGAACCTATTCCCATCATCTGTGAAAGAAAAAACCCCAAGCTTATTTGAAAATAATGAAGAACAAAACATTTCAATCACCGTGGAAAAAATAATATAAGGTACTACTGATGTAAGTGTATATAGGCGGCTGGCTTTCCCTGAATGACCACAGTGTGCATTTCGAATAGAACAAGAAGATAGACCTGCCTTGTACAGGAAAATAGACCCACTTAGTTGCTTTCATTTGGAAAGTTATTATCGTGGTACTACTTCTCTGAGGCTTTCATATGATTGGTCAAATCACGCAATGAAGATGCGTTGATGCGTTTACAAACTTTAAGTTAGAATCACCTCTTACAGCAAACCATTGGTAATTTATGATGTGAGTGCGCGTCAGACATGACATGATCCTAGTTGGTTATGTAACGATCTTATCAATCAAGAGCGAGAGCTATAATTGTTGTTTTTCGACACCTGCGAAATATTCAATCATCTCACTGATCATGAATTCTCGAAATTCATTTTTTGTTTGTTTGTCACTTGTATTTATGTTGGCTCGTTGATTAGGGATTTACCATCCTTGCACTTAGTGAATCTTTAATCCGGCTGCATACTTGAAACTCCTGGTATCGTTTAAGTTTCTCTCAACATGGTTACTCAGCCAGTAGAGGATGCGTGAAAATGATGCCAGTCCGGTGGGCGAAAAGTCAACCAATTCATCAGTTGTGAAATAAGATTCTCCTTTGGTGCAAGTCGCTGACGCAAACCTAGAGCACAAAGATACATTTTGAAAAACTCTTACCAGGGTGAACCTTTCTGTTTACCAAGGATAAAAACATGTTTTTATCCCGAGTTCTCGTTGGCTTCTTACAGTGTTTTGCTTTGTTCTGATTGGTTTTCTTGATTCATGACGTAACTCCGGGCAAATCCTGTTCTTCAGTAATATTTTAAAATCGATTAAGGAAAAGTTGCGAGCATGCGCATTGTGATCAGTCTGTGGTTGCGCGACCAATCAGAATTAATCGCTTAGCTAAGTTAAGAGCGCTTTTGGATTGAGTGTCGTATAACATAAACTAAAGTGATCAAAACAATCAGGATAATATCTCAAGGTGCAAATGAAACCTCAAAGCAAAAAGATACATACTCCCTGAAGCGGACCGATCACAGAGCAAAGTAAGGCACGGACGCAATTACTACGCATTTCTTTCGATGTGTATTTGAATATTGGTCTGATGGAAAAGCGTCAATAAAACAAATGCAAGCATTTTTTTGAGCCCGGTGAAGACAAATCGGAATATCATCTACTTTCTGTTGATTTTTAATCTTTGTTCACAGCCATTATTTAGAATTTTCAAGAACTGAGAATTGTACGCGTGTCATTAAAAGGTCTGAGTGGGATCTCCTTCAATCAAATAAGTTAGTAAATTTATCGATGTAACAAAAAGAACAGCTTTAAGTGTTTAACAGGCCGAAATATTTTTCAGGAGTAAATTTACCATATTTATCCTTAAAGACGGTCAGTTTCCTGCGTACTTAGGTTAGAGGCTAAGCGCACAGATAAAAAGAACTGAGATCAAGAAAATCACTCAGTTTGAGTGGAGATTTTGACCCTGAAACCAAACTTTAAGGAGAGATCAATAATAACGCATTTTTTAAAAAAATAATAATTAAGTTATGCCTATAATTTTGAGCGCTTTCTTTAAGAAGATAAGATAAAAAACAATCAAACTACCCAAAAGACAACATCGTGACACACACCTCTCTCTGATAGTTAACACTGATCGCGGGATGTACAAAGAACTCCAGTTGTGGATAACTTGATCAAAACAACATCTGACCCATCAAAGATAAATAATAAAAAGCACATGGCACAAACTTGAATTGTTTTCTTCCTTCCTAGATTTGAGGGGTGTATAAAAACACCAAAGTTCGCTGTAGGCGACCAAAAGTTACGCCGCGCCTCTCTTTGGAAAAGTGAGCGTGCCGTGGAGGGTTGCCGTGACGCATGCAAAGATCCCAGTTTTGGAGGAAAATGCTACAATGGTGGGAAATGTGTGAACAAGATCGTGAGGAGAGAATGTGATTGCAGCAAGACTCGATTCAATGGTCCAAACTGCTCCCGAGGTAACAGATATAAGCTTCAATTGTTAACTTGAGTGATATATTCATAAATGTTTTATAACTAAATAAATCATTGTTAGTACAGGAAAGTTCACCTTCATTGACGAGGTCTTTCCTCGATTTCCTTCAATCTATTTTAATCTGTTTAAGGTCGAAGCAGTTTTCTCCTTTGCTGAGTTTGAAGGTCTGTTCAGGCAACATCGCTTTTTGTTTTCAGTTGTTTGGTTCTCTAGTGTGAGTTGTCTAAGAGCAGATTAATAGAAAACAAGACATAAGTGAGATAAATTCAGAACTGTTCCGGCTGACAGCAGAGAAACAGCCTAGATTTTTTGAACCATAGAAAGGAAACAATCCAAACCAGACTTATTCAGATTTTTCTTACGCTGACATCTTGAATTGTGCTCAACTATGCGAAATTAATGCTTTTGGTTAACCGATTTGCGTTTGAAATGTGAGTAAGTATGAAGACTCGATAACCATCTGGCGGAGTAACCGCTTGGTAACCCATTAATAAAGGA